TACTAAATACCTGCTCCACGTGCTTCAAACCGTGAAGGTAGGGGTGGTGGAAAATGACCCTATTTAGCCTCAATATCGAGAAACATGATTGAAGGATCTTGATAACCGTTATATCAGAGTGTTACTGTTAGAGTCCTTCTAAACAGCAATAGAACAACGTTGGTTTATGCGTCAGGAATGCGAAAAACAGTAATTTGAACATCCCAACCTATAAATACTTCCGCATCTGGTTGGAGAATGTATCAAACAAGAATTCGGTGTTTTTGGAAATATTCCTTTGATTCGTATTCATGAAAAATAGGATTTCACAGTGCTTTATCCTTTCTTTGAATTTTGGACATGATCTTGGGACATACTAGGACACATTATGGGACAAACAACTAGAAATTCGCATAAATTTCTTTAACATTGAAAAGAATGTAGTTCAAACGTTTAAAGATGAAACCATCTATCATTACAGACGGACTTTGAACGTGCATTAGTATCTTTACTACTTGACATTCCTCATTTTTGACTCAGTTGAAAACTTAAAGTGAAAATGTCCTGACAGACGAAATAAACCAGTTTCATCATTCATGAGTCCACAATCTATTAATTGAGACTCAAATAATATGACGATAAAGGTTTCCCCGACCCACAGCCAGAAACCATAGCAGACTAGCAGATAATCTGCAAGGAAATTTTCGATTTCGGAGGAAATTTTCGATTTCGGAGGAAATTTTTGGTGCCAAAGAGAAAATTTTAAAAGTTTACGATCTCAATTTGAAAAATTTTCATACGAAGTTTTTTGTTGGTGAAGAGGAAATTTTCAAAAAATAATTCAAAATTGTTGACAAATGAAAGAGGAAAAAACTAACAGTTCTTTAAATCGTTTTTGAAACTGTAGCTGTGTTTGAAAATGATCTCTATTGCCAAATTGCTTCTAGGCCTTCTGTGTGAGAATTTTTGCCTGCGGCAAACATATATTCAATTCCTGGCCATGTTTACTTGTGGGTTGTAGGAGAAAGCCATTTTGTAACAAACTATTTCGAAGGGCTTCAGATGTTATGTTATTGTAGATTTTAATGTGGACAAGCAAAAACGCAAAAAATTTTCTTGGCCTAGCTTCAAAAGCTTAAGAACTGTCCTGCCTCACTCGCCGACATTGCGAGGAAATTTTTAACTTTCTGGATGTGGGTTCCCCGAATTGCTTCCCAATTTTGTGAAATTTGTCTGTTTTGCCTTAGGTACGTCATCATATAATTAATAGAATATCCAAACAAAGTGAATTTGCTACGCTTTAAACCGGGGCTCTTAAATATTGGGTAACATTTGCGTCCTATTTGTCGGGAAACATTTTCTATCTTGACATGAGTCTGAGGCACGTTGTCATCCTTAAAATTGCGAGGCATGAAAAATAAATATCAAAGTAAATTAACTTTCGTTTTAAACGGTAGCTTTCAAGATTCAATGATCTCCTTCATAAGTAAAAAAAAACATCATTGTTGGAAAGTTCAGCTATGCCTTAAAAGTATATTTTGTAAAGCCTAGAAGAAAAGTTAGCAATTGCTTCCGCAATACGGTAACAACCTCGGTAATCTTAGGACTAATTTCTTATCATTCGGTCCCTTAGGAATTTCAAGAATTTCCAAGAGCGAAAATGAAACCTGCCTACACCTTGATTACCATCTTTCATAGTTTAAAAACATACAGAACTCTGTTTTAACATAATAGATATGCAGCTGCTTTTTAAAAAATACCACATTCGTTGTACGGCTGGCAAATGCAACGAACACAACCGGTTGCAACCCTGAATCAAACGATATACCTGGATATAAATAGGAACGAACATAAGTTACAATCGGTCTGACGTTTAATTGACCTGATGGCTTTTAGTCTGGAATTTTGAATCTCCATCTTGAGCAATTTACGAATAGTATCACATTTATATGTAAGAGGTATAGAATACGTGCTTTCATATTCCTCGATTAATAGTCAAAAACCCCCTTACTAAATGTATTAACTGAAATACATTAATAAACTAATGACCATCATCACAATAGATAAATAACGTCTGAATAGGCGAAGCGAGCTAAATTTCCACGCTTCAGCACGGAAATAATTTAATCTCAGCGTCCGCCCACCCGCCGTGGGCGTCTAGTAAGAGAATCGTCAAAGCCACAACTTTAAGTTATAATTAAGATTTCGATACTGCTACAAGCATTTAAGCATTCAAGCTTTTAAGCATGTAAGTGCAGCGTTGCAATGATCATTCAATGCTGTGGGGAGTGGGCATATAATATCATTATATCGGTTGTAAGAGCACTGTCATTTGTTAGACATAGCTGTCAGTCTCCAAGATGTCTTGTTCCGAGATCAAGGCAGCTTAATTTATGGGAGGGATAGATGGTGATAAAGATCATATTAGAGGCAGGGAAGTATTTCAAAGATTTTGACAACATGATTTATCAACTAACTACAACTTTTAACCACAACTAGAGATATCAACTAGGATGCGGGATCAATTCAGACTTTGTCGAAAGTGAACTGCGAGCAATGGTGCGTGCTTTTTTCGCATATGTATTGCATCGTGCATGTGCAGTGTGCACGTAGCGAGGCGCGACTTACTGCTTACTATAGACCACTAAGACTCATGCGTAACAATCACTACAATTATTTGGGCTATAGTAAAAGTACAGGCACTTGTGTTCACATTTGAATGAGAAATAGCGTAGGATTAAATTAAAAAGGAAGAAAATTAGTGTCCCCGTCACTGAACATGAGAGATTTTAGTCGGATCGTCAGTGGTCTGATTGATCATCGCCCCATTAAAATGTTTCTCACATGTTCGGATAGGAGCTGCTGGAGCTGTACGTGAATACCAGTAATCCGTAAGTAGAGATAAAGTAGTGACAAGTGAGCGGAAGCCCCATATTCCACTGCGTAGCCTTACAGTGATACATCGACCACGAGTTTTAATCGACTTTGGTGATTTGTCCACGGTTGGCAAGTTATGGATTTGGGAACCGTATTAAAATGCCCAAGTATAGGCATCATGTGACAAAGTTCATGAAGATAATGCAGATATAATGGTGTTAAGTGAAATCTTTGCAACCATAGTTATAGCTCGGCCAATCACAGAATCATGATCTAATCTTATATCGCTTGTGATTTTTCATCAGAAATGGATCATGGCAAAATACAATTATCATTAGTGGGGGGGGGGGGGGCTCATTGCCACTTTTCGACATTTTGTGGAATAAGAATGGTGAAAAATAATGGTGAAGCATGGACCGATATCGGGACTTGGACTCGAAATGATCGAGTAAAGGAACGCTGTTCATGATACAATGTGTATGAAATGTCACCAACCTTGGGGGGGGGGGGGCAACCATATTAAAGTATATTAAAATGTAGGATTTTTTCCAATTTTGACCCGGGGATATACTTTAATATACTTTAATATACTTTAATATACTTTAATATACTTTAATATACTTTAATATACTTTAATATACTTTAATATACTTTAATATACCTACATTTTCTCCATTAAAATTTTGAACCATATTAAAGTATATTAAAATGTAGGTTTTTTTTCCAATTTTCACCCGGGATATACTTTAATATACTTTAATATACTTTAATATACTTTAATATACCTACATTATAAAAAATTATGTGAAAAATTTTGTTTTATTTAATGTATGGATTAGATTTACCTTTCATGTAAAGTTAGTGTTGTTCAAAGATATTGATACTTGACCAATTTATGAGCCAAAATATATGAAGTATGAGTTCAGGGGACTAGCAAATGGCTTATCTTCTAATCTACTAATTGTAGGTATATTAAAGTATATTAAAATGTAGGATTTTTTCCGATTTTGACCCGGGGATATACTTTAATATAGTTGCCCCCCCCCCCCCCAACCTTGTCCTCTTTGACACTAATGTGCCCTCTTGCTCCTACATCAACACTAATAATCCCTTATCCCAGTAAATCTGTGTGTGTGTGTGTATGTGTGTGAGAAATTTCCGAGCGGCTTAATTAAGAAAACGGTAAGAGTTACCGGACTGGTTTTTTTTTTCGGTATAGTGCCGACAAACTCTGATGAAGCCTATAAGCAATTTTTATTAAAATCGGCCGGTGGTAAGTGGTTAAATTGATGGTTTTGTACCACAAATGTGTCATAAAATGGGTCACTTTTTCTCCCTCCTCGCTATCTCTCTTCCATTACTGTATATGTAGCGTTGGTACATGAATCATAATAATGTTATTTGGCAGTGTATAAGATTCACTACTCCAACATTTGATATTCACTGTCATGTAATACTATAAGCTTATTAGGGGGGGGCACTCATTACGGTCTGCTTGGACTACTGCAGAGAGAGTTCATACTTCCATACGTCAATATAATGCGTGTTTTCGAATAAAATAGGCGGGTTTATACTTTTGCATTTCAACTGCGATAGTGAAGTCCCGGCAGTAGGCACGGATTACACTAGTATCTCTATAAGGAGCTCCACAGTAAGCACTACCGTTTACCGCTTTATACACTTCTTTTTGTAGGATTCTCCCATATTTTGATATTTTTTCATTTTGACATTTATGTTTCGATTTTTGTTCGTGGTCATGATTTGTGATAAGAAGTGAGAACTGCGTGTGGTTCTTGCGCTTTTGTATCTAATTGGGCAGTCCTCTATTTTTAACATGTATCTGCCCTAAGTTCTGACATTTCTTCCCTTTTATTCAGCTGCTATTAGTGTTCAATATAATAGCGCCATATCCAATATCGATCTGATGAAATCCTCCAAATATTTTCGAAGTAATAATTTAATTTAATTTTGCGGGGCGCGCCGCGCCATGTGCTTGCGCTCTGATCCCAGCAAAATATTTTAAGCGCCTGCTCAAAATTCCATAGTAAAAACTCAAAAGCTAGCGGGAAGTCGACATCGTACTACAAAAAATACAAGTAACACGAAATATTGAATAGCTCTACCCTGAACACTTAAGTACTTACACTTTGACTTCAGAAGGAATGTCGAGTCTGTCCAACATAACATGCTGCGCAAGGTCGCTTAATCTCTGACAGTACACTATCTTGCTGCTTGCACGAATACTGGAAATTAGTACGTCACGTGACCCGTAGATTAAATTCAGAATAAAGGGTTACGTCACCCGGGGTAACATTCAATGTTTAGTACAATGTGTCGTCATTTTACCTTGACGTCACCCGGGGTAACATTTAATGTTTAGTACAATGTGTCGTCATTTTACCTTGACGTGTCAAAGTTAAATTGTTAAAAGGATAATATCAAATTTAGTGTGCCAAATATAATAAGAGGTTTAATGCGTATATTAACCTGACTAAAGGCTTCATGAATCTGAAAACCATTTTCAGCTTTGTACTGGGATGAACGATGTAGAACGCTTTGATATTCTTCTTAAACCTGAAATTGAACAGTAGATAATAAAAGTTAAACAAATTTGACGTAAATACACATTTCAGTATTTCAGCGTGTCCCAAATCATTGTGAAGTTGTATGATCTCACAAGAAAACAGTTAGCGGCTAACTAGACCGAAGCACAAAAACCAATTCTCATGACGCAGGGAGAACCCGGAAGTGCTCCGCTTGTTTGTCCTCATTAATACCAGTTTAAACTGTTAACTCCACATGATTTCACAGCGTCTCCCAGCGAGGCTGCTGTCTTTACAATTTCACTGTGTGATCACAGTCTAGCCGTTATAATATATCCGGGCAAACGAATTGTTACAGTTAATAAACTAATAACATGTTTGGTCGTGGCTTACAGCTCACAATTTACAAGACACTTTACAACTCATCTGAAATTGTGCACAGTCATTAAATGAAGGGCTGGTCTTGCTATCCTAACTCCATTGTCCGGTTTAGTAAACTCCGTGTTGTGATTATGACTCATGACTTGCTAAAACTCCAACATTTCAGAAACACATACTATTAGTTGGGAAGGTTTGAAAATATCAATATATTCCTGGAATCTTGATACTGGTGGGAAGGTGAACCATATTATATTTGTGTATTAAACTGATCGTAACAGTGATCCAGAAGTTTTTATTTCTTAATGCTGAAAGTTCATCGCTGTCTCGTGTCAGAACAAAGTTCACCTACCACCAATTAATTAATTAATTAATTTAATTAATTAATTAAATTTGCAGTTCAATAAGTTTAAAACTAAACCAGCAGAACTTTAGGGTTGTCGAACTACTGTACGTGTCGAACTAGAGTACGTGTCCCGTTCTGATTATATTTAATTTATACATGACAGGACTGTTTGTATCATACCAAAGTATAAAGTGTCGATCAGGTGAGAAAGAAGAAAGCGAAACTAACTTCCTATCAAAGCTGCGGTAACACGTGACCAGCCACTTCCAGGAGGGTTTGTTGAGTTTGTCGTAACCGTGGTGGAAGTAGACCAGACTGTAGTCGTTATCACAAATCTTGTCAAGTTGAACTAGCCCGAACCTGGGGTAAAGAGGTTAAAGTAAAAGCACGTGCAGTCTAATTTACTTATATTGGTTCCAGGTGGCATCCTGGTTGACATTGCTTGAAAAGCTCACAGTCCAGACATCCTACTTTCAGAAATTGCAATTATAATAAAAGTTTTAAAAAGCAACTTTTTAAATGAATTGGTATGTACATAAAAGCAATATGAGGTATAAAATGTGAACAATGACGCAGACGTTGTAAGTTTTAGCTTACTGAGTAATACTATCTGCTGGGCTTGTATCATATTTCAGATATACTGCACTTGATATGCTGTAATCTAATGGAATGTTCTGCTTGTGGTACATCGACAGTCAATTTTTGCAGGTTAAGTCTTCACAATAGCTCGTTAATCTTGACTTTGACTAGCTAATTGAAGTAATCATGGGAATGGGGCATCTCCAATTTTAGAAAATAATTAAAATGGATATCGATTTTCTCTTAATACGCTATAGACATCCAATTTAAAGTCTTAATTGTCTGCCAAAAAATATTCCCAGAAAATCATTCTTTTTTATGAAATGAAAATAAAATAAGGAAGAAAATATCTGAATGTTTTGGCATTTGGTAATCGTTACAACCGTGTCGCGGGTACCCCTGATCAATTAACCCTTGTTCAATCGACGGTGCTAGACAATAATTAGTAAATTAGCGCGAGGGTGTCTCTTTGTGAAATTGTCAATTTGCAATAGTAACAAATTCATTCATCTTTAGTATGACATATCTTTGCCATATCCGACCAAGATTAACATAATTCCATACATGCTTCACCGCTTCTCCTTCATTTAACCGTTCCTCCGTACAATTATGAATTTATGGATTTTAGAATAATCAATCGTAACCATAAATTATCGTAATCACATCGAATAATCAACCCAAGCGTAATTTCAGTGTCCAAATTTAGATTTTATATTCCACTGCGAAAGAAACAGTTTGGTTATGAATTTATCTCACTCAGACGATCATGACCATCCCAAACTAATGACCTATCTTAACAATAAACAAAGTAATAAGCAGTATTCTTCATAAATACAGCAGTAGTTTGCTAGATTTTCCCTCCAATTAGATGGTAAATAAACGATAAACTTAAAATAAACCAACAAAAAAGTAAGCATACAAATAAGTAAGTACCTGAGGAGGCGGTCCCAGTCAGTGGTATTAATAGGAACTCTACAGGTAGCTATGGAGATACACATCCTCCCCGAGGGGTCGGCATTACAACTCCCTATCATGTTGCATTGCGCCAGGGACCCAAAGTCTTCTTTCTGAAAAATGCGGTTATCTTAAAAGACCTTATCCCGAACAGTATTTACAATAAGAAAGTTGTTCTCATGATTGCGATAGCGCAATTATCAGGTTGACTCGATGAAGGGTTCCAAGGTCACATACAACTTATCATGTTTATCTAAGCGAGGGTTGCGTCACCCAAACCTCACCTAGAGACCTAGATAACAGGGTGTTTACCACTTCCACGACAAATATATTAATTATGGGGGGGGGGGGGGGGGCACACTCTGATGCGTCCCAATGAGGACCGATATTAAACAATAACGATGTATAATTTGTAGTGACAATGGGAGTGCTAAAGAACGGGTCTAGAAAGAATAGTTACAGTGTGTTCATCAGTGAGGTCCCTGAGTTACCAGAATACATTGTAACATTGCTACTGTCTTACTATATATAAAGCGAGACGATTATATATATATAATATATATTTTTTTTTTGTTGCCATTTTACAGACAGCACAACATTAATTTTAACACTACTTTCCGCGAAAACCGCGAGAGATATACTATTGAACCTTTTTTTGGCTGGGTCGAATGTTTTTATAGCCTTTTGAACAGTACATTTGTATAAAGAAATACAAAATTGGCTAAGAAATAAATAATTTAGGTCCCTTCAAGATGAAGGAAAAGCTGATCTCCTCGATTAAATAGCTCTTCTCGAACTAGACACTGATGGATACCCATCGTGAAGGGTCTCCTGATAGAGACAGAGACAGATGAAAATAAGCCGCTAAAAAGAAAGAGATTAGAGGAGACAGACTGTGCTTTTGAGAACGGACAGATGAACATCAGTGCAGACAGATCCATCTGGAGATATCTGGATAACTTGATACGAGCAAACTTAACACGAGGGTCGAGGAACTAAACGCACGTTCTCCAGCTAACACTTATTGACATGTTAATCAGTTATCCATCAAGTGTTCAATTAATTAATCAATTAATTATTGTTTATCATTTCTTCTTTCTTTATCATCCGAACGAAAAGTGTAAGAAATAAAACGTTAACCTTTTATTTCCTCTCTGATTAATATAACCTATATTGAATACCCCGGTCGTAACGTCATGAAAAGTGCAAACGTACTCAAAGTCTGCTTAGCTTAGAAAACCTATCGTAATATATTATACATTGTACAATACATTGTACAATACATTCGCCATTTTCTTATTTTCTAGTTTTGTGTACAAACCATTCTTGAGGTTGATACGAAATTCTTGTGGAAAAAACTCCGAACTATGGTAAAACTTAGACATTTTGTTAACAAAAAAATTATCGGAGAGTCCTCTGATCATAATAACTTGAATAGTATCCATTGTATAATGTATTGCTCCTACATAAATTCTGTTATCAAGAAAAAAATATTTCAGACATACTTTTTTCCTTCCCCATTTTGTTATCTTTAAGGGGGGAGGGGGGTTCAGCCTCAAAACTTGATTCTGACATAGCATAGCAGTTGACCAACAAACTAGGACCTGTGACCAAACTTGTGCAGCCGCGCCATATTTGTGCCCAAATAGACCCAATTAGGCCAACACCTTAACATGTTTATAGGAAAGGTAAGCCTTAACAATACAATGTATCTAGGCTTACCTTTCATATAAAGTTAGTTTCATTTAAAGATATCGATATTTGACCAATTTATTGGCCAAAATCTATCAAATTTGGTGCGTATGCCTAAATATGGGCATATGGTATTTGGCTCATAACTCAGTCATTTTTTGTCCAATCTGGATAGAAATCCATTTATACGTGTTTTGGGAACCACTAGCTACTGGTAGAACACCTGAAATCTGAGTTTTGGGCATGTTAAGCTGATTTGGCCTATTTGGGCACAAATATGGGTGCGGCTGCACCGCTGGCACCGGTGGACCCCCTCAAAAGTTTGATCATAGGTCCTAGTTTGTTGGTCAACTGCTATGTCAGAAGCAAGTTTCACGACAATTTCAGGCTGAACAATTTGAAACGGTTTTCGATTAGAAAAAAGCGCACTCGATGGCCATATAATGCAGTATGTCTAGCTTAGAAAAATTACATCACAACATAGGGCAACTTGGTCGTTTAGCTCCGGACAGTCTATGCAACGTCTATGCAACGTCCATGCAACAACAAAAGAACCGTCTATGCAACGTCTATGCAACGTCCCTGCACAATGAACACTCTATGCACACTCCCTGCACGGTCAGTCTATGCAACGTCTATGCAACGTCTATGCAACGTCTATGCAACGTCTATGCAACGTCCCTGCACAGTACCATATGAACACCGGCTACAAGCCGGCTACTAGCCGGCTACTAGCCGGCTAGTAGCCACTTTTGTAATAACAGCTCCTCAACTTCACATTACCAACCGGCTACTAACCGGCACTTGAAAAGTGGTCACTAGCCGGCTACTAACCGGCTACTAGCCGGCTAGTGACCACAAAGTGGCTACTAACCGGCTACTAAGCGGTCACTAGCCGGCTATTAGCCGAGCTCTAAAGCAGACCTACTAGTAGCCGGTTCCAAACCGGCTACTAGCCGGCACTTAGAAAGCGGTCACTAGCCGGCTACTAACCGGCTACTAACCGGCTAGTAACCACCAAGTGGCTACTAACCGGCTACTAACCGGTCACTAGCCGGCTCTTAAGCGGACCTTGGGTACAAAGGGTCCTAAGAGTGGCAAGATTAGGACCCTTTGTTGTTGCATGGACGTGGCATGGACCCTATGCAACGTCCATGCAACAACAAAAGAACCGTCTATGCAACGTCTATGCAACGTCCCTGCACAATGAACACTCTATGCACACTCCCTGCACGGTTAGTCTATGCAACGTCTATGCAACGTCTATGCAACGTCTATGCAACGTCTATGCAACGTCTATGCAACGTCCCTGCACAGTACCATATGAACACCGGCTACAAGCCGGCTACTAGCCGGCTACTAGCCGGCTAGTAGCCACTTTTGTAATAACAGCTCCTCAACTTCACATTACCAACCGGCTACTAACCGGCACTTGAAAAGTGGTCACTAGCCGGCTACTAACCGGCTACTAGCCGGCTAGTGACCACAAAGTGGCTACTAACCGGGTACAAAGGGTCCTAAGAGTGGCAAGATTACGGTTGCAGATCTCGTTTGCGAAGGTGTAAACACTAGGAAGTCTGACGTCTCGTAGTTGCAGCAGTGCGTGTTGGACACCTGGTAGGTCAACTTTTGCAGTGTAATTGTTTTTGGGCGCTAGGACGACGCCTTGGGTACAAAGGGTCCTAAGAGTGGCAAGATTACGGTTGCAGATCTCGTTTGCGAAGGTGTAAACACTAGGAAGTCTGACGTCTCGTAGTTGCAGCAGTGCGTGTTGGACACCTGGTAGGTCAACTTTTGCTGCTACATCGCTTTCTTGAGAAGTGACTCCGAGAAATGTGTATCTGCTCCAGAGCGGCAGACTTTGAGAGACCAGAGTTGACTAGCTGCACAACGGCGTCGTATTCCGCTGTAACCCCGTCTAAAGAAAATATCCGCCTCGTTCTACGACCAGTAGGCAGAGCAGCAGCATTGGGAGCAGGTTGCTGATCAGTAGCAGGTTGGTGTCCAGGAGCAGCTTGCTGAGCAGGAGGTTGAGGAGAATTGGGAGCAGGTTGTTGATCAGTAACAGGTTGCTGTGCAGGAGCAGGTTGAGGAGCTGGAGGTTGAGGAGCTGGAGGTTGAGGAGCTGGAGGTTGAGGAGCTGGAGGTTGAGGAGCTGGAGGTTGAGGAGCTGGAGGTTGAGGAGCTGGAGGTTGAGGCGGTTGAGGAGCAGCAGCGGTACGAGGAGCTAGTCCTGGAACAGTGGGAGGAGGAGGGGGTGGGGTAGGTCTTGAAGTAGAAGAGGTTCTAAGTCGGTGATTGGTGGTGGGGATAGGTCTGTTATCGTCGAATTGTGGGTGTAGAGTGCAGGGAGCACGGATCGATGTGTACTATAATCTGTAGATAATCTGGGTCCTCTCTGTAAGCGCTTCTAACAGTCCGAATGCAGGCAGTACATCTGAGGGAGGGAAGGTTGAGGAGCTGGAGGTTGAGGAGCTGGAGGTTGAGGAGCTGGAGGTTGAGGAGCTGGAGGTTGAGGAGCTGGAGGTTGAGGAGCTGGAGGTTGAGGAGCTGGAGGTTGAGGAGCTGGAGGTTGAGGAGCTGGAGGTTGAGGAGCTGGAGGTTGAGGCGGTCGAGGAGCAGCAGCGGTACGAGGAGCTAGTCCTGGAACAGTGGGAGGAGGAGGGGGTGGGGTAGGTCTTGAAGTAGAAGAGGTTCTAAGTCGGTGATTGGTGGTGGGGATAGGTCTGTTATCGTCGAATTGTGGGTGTAGAGTGCAGGGAGCACGGATCGATGTGTACTATAATCTGTAGATAATCTGGGTCCTCTCTGTAAGCGCTTCTAACAGTCCGAATGCAGGCAGTACATCTGAGGGAGGGAAGGTCGGGACTGTAAGTCCTTCTGGAGCAGATTGAGGAGATGTGACCGGTAGACCCACAGTGATCGCATTTAGGAGCAGGTGTAGGAGCGGTATATCTGTTTCTTCTGGTCCGCATGTTGATTAAGAGTAAAGAATGATGTATAGTAAAGAACGATGTAAAGAACGAGGGATAAATAAGTTGGTGGCTAATGCTACTTATATAGTTTTTGGAAAGGCCTGCAGGTCCGTCAGGGCTCGTTATACCCATGGTTATTTGATCTGATCTATCATGCATGGTGTCACGTCAAATCCTAACGATTGCGGTGATCCGTTAGAACTCAATTGGGGATCACATCGTTTTCACTGATCACGTCCCTGCAGGGATTCTTATGCAAAAGGAGGGATATAACCTAAACAATCTTGATAAAAGGATTAAAAAATGACTATGATACTTGATGCGTCCCATATCATAAATAATTTGGGATCCATCAGTTTCGGTTCGGTTTATCGATCATTTCTTAATAAAGTGGGAGCAAGCGGAGCATTCGTCTATTTTCAAAATGTAATAAATGCGATATTACTCGTCAGCCAGCGCAGGCCAGCGCAATATAGTTGCGATATTGTTCGATAGCTACTGCTAGCGCCGGCCAGCGCTGGCTAGCGCCATGTATCGAAATCGGCTCTAACTAATTCGCTCGCCCAAATTTTCACGTGACGTTTCTATGGTTTTGCAGCCAAACAAAACGGTTTTACAGACACCCTAATCCCAACCTTAACCCTAACCCCGAAGCTATTCATAACCCTAACCACAACCGTGGTCACTATTAACCAATGTCTCTATTAACCAATGTAAACAGTTCTGCGTGAGAAATTCGAGCTAGCTTGCTCAGGGGCTAAATTGGCCAAATAAGCTCATTGAAGCTAGCACTCACACAACACTTGCCACAATGACAAAGGTTTAGCTACCTGTTATTAACACTAGCAGGAACCCATTAACCCTAAAGTGGTGTCAAGACTTTAGGAGGCCGGATCAGTTTCCTGCCGCAAAGTCTCCCAGTGAAAATTATTATTACCTATTTAATTCACGTTTTTGACACCACTTGGAAGTCCGAATTTTGGGCACTAAAATTCTTATTTCTTGGCCTATTTTTTATTTTTTTATGTTGATTTGAAGGCCATTAAGGCATTTGACCCAGTCATAAAAAATTTGAGTATTATACAGGGTGGGCCAAAAGTCAGTGTGCAAACGTTGGGTCTTATACCTCCGCCGTGTTTTATATTTGAGAGCTGTTGCTTTGCAGATGGCATACTGTACTTACTGGTTCGAGGATTCCGTCGTCAAAATTTGAAAATTCGAATATTTTAGACCACGCCCATTCAATATTAAAACACCTATATTGTTTTCTCTGAACATGCTGAACGCCTAATTTTTTTAGAGACGGTAGATTATCAAATGTTGCATATGATCTGAAAACATGAGGCAAAACAGATTAGAAATGACGAAGTTATCAAGCATTTTGTGTATCTCGTTAACAAAATTGACTGGGTGATTATGTGACACCGTGACACGACACCTTAATTGGGCACCCTTAACAATTCCCATAACGTTTAACGGGGTCGTTAACGGGGTCACCTTATCACGTGATTAGGTAAACCAATCACCTGATCACACGTAATGAATAAACTCGTTATGCTTCAAATCTCGGTCATCTGAGAAGCTACAGTTCTAATTCTTTCAGGACAAACGTAATTCGAATGGCCAAACACAATTCAATAACATTTAGCTTGATCCGACTATCCAAACTATCAAATAAATGTGAAAATGAACATCCATTTGAAAACAATGAACGCGAATATTTTTCGAGTTGACAAATTCCTCGAACCAGTGGTGGTACTAAGTCATACCAGAAGGAAGTATTTCAATTGGGCACTCAGTGAGTGAGCTATTAAGGCCAGCGTTTGCACACTGACTTTTGGCCCACCCTGTATCTTTTACGGTTTTTGCGGAACGTCGTGTTAAAGTTGATGCCCTGGTGTCAGTAAAATGGTAACAAATATATATATATCGTCTCGCTTTATATATGTAAGATTCTGTTAAATTTTGAAGCAAAAATATTTATCAGAACATAAGTTATGCCACTTTTTGTTTTTAAAATAATTAGCAAGATCTGAGCGACATGTAACAATTTTAAGAGATAAGAACTGGTGAACGTTCTTGGGCCACCCTGTAAAATAATTGCGTTGAGCAGTGCAAATTAGTTTGTAATTGCACAGAATATGCTTCCAGATGCTCTCAAAACAGTACAACTGTGCAATTAGTTTTGTAATCGCACCCCCTAGGAAGAAAACCGGTGCGATTATGAAATTAATAAGTGGCCGTTAAATAGGTCAAAAGTGGAGTCATATGACGTATAACCATACAACGGTTACATTCTGATTCTAATAATCCCTGATAATATACTGTCACATGCTAAAATATTAAAACAGTGTTACATACTCCAATATTAATATAACATCAAGTCATATAGTTGAAAGCAATCCCTCGGAGGGTCCGATCAATGTTGTTGCTGGGGTAGGTGGAAACCAGAGTTACAATCCTACTATTGCGAGCTGTCTGCTTGGGTGTCGGTTCCGTGGTAGCCCGTTCCCTCCCTCACATTCTGCCAGATCACTCTTGCTCTAATCTTGGAGTTGTCAGGAGGGTGGGTGTGATCGCGGGCCCACTCCAAGGTAGAGGTAGGAGAAGTTCTAGTGGTAGAAGCCGTCGCTCTCCAGGATATCCCTCTATCCCGGTAGTGCTTGCTGTTCATCTCACATCTCCAAGTTATTGAGCCGTTTGACTTCTACCGGTGGTAGTTGTAGAGGAAGACGCCATGGGATAGCTTCGGCTTGTAGTGTTAAGATTTGATGAAGGTAAGCATGTTAGAAAGTTAAAGAGAGAAGTTGATGTGGTTGCTAATATTGTGAGTGATTTCTTCGGACATTTAAACCATTCTCAATGGTTTCGTTTTAACCAGCAATCATATTTCGTCATCCAATCTTGTAGTAGATACGTTTTGTGCGGTGATCAGATACGTTTCCACAAGCAATTGTGGTTCGTTAACCAAGTCTCATTAGGGTTTGATTCGTTTTAACTAGCAATCACATTCCGTCATCCAATCTTGTATTAGATACGGTGATTAGATACGTTTCCACAAGCAAGTGTGCTTCGTTTACCAAGTCTCATTAGGGTTTGATTCGTTTTAACCAGCAATCATGTTTCGTCATCTAATCCTGTAGTAGTACGTTTTGTGCGGTGATCAGATGCGTTTCCACAAGCAATCGTGCTTCGTTAACCAAGTCTCATTAGGGAAATCACGTGACTTGGAAATCACGGGGACCATTGACTTGACTTTCTTAGGCAATCAGCTTTATCACTTTTTATTATATCCGTCACAACCAAAGAAACAGCCGAATTAAATGTAAAGCACAACGTAAATGTAAATACCACATAATCAATCAAAATGATGCTCGCAAATCTTTGCACGTGCAAGTTCATGTAGTAATCATCGTTACCATGGTTACTATACAAATTCCGTTTTTTACCTAACAAATATAATTCTCTGAATTTTAAATAAGATATTTAGTACTAAAGTATAATGATGAAATATCGTGGGGTCAATTGTCGGGGGGGTCAATTGTCGGGGGGTCAATTGTCGGGGGGTCAATTGTCGGGGGGTCAATTGTCGGGGGGTCAATTGTCGGGGGGTCAATTGTCGCATTGCTATAAGCACTGGCATTTGGCCAGCGTGTGCGACAGTGTCATCCAGCGCTATCCAGCGCTATCCAGCGTTATCCAGCGCTGGATAGCAACAACCGTTTTGACTATTAGTATTACAAAAGAACCCTTGAATACTGTTGCTTGAATTTAGACATGATTGTAAATATTTTATACTACGGTGCTTGTACTTGTGGCTATCTGAATTTTATATTATATTATATTATATTTTATATTATATTCAATTTCAGAATGCCGGTTTGGAACCGGCTACTAGTAGGTCTGCTTTAGAGCTCGGCTAATAGCCGGCTAGTGACCGGTTAGTAGCCGGTTAGTAGCCACTTGGTGGTTACTAGCCGGTTAGTAGCCGGTTACTAGCCGGCGAGTGACCGCTTTTCAAGTGCCGGCTAGTAGCCGGTTTAGAACCGGCTACTAATAGGTCTGCTTTAGAGCCGGCTAGTGACCGGTTAGTAGCCGGTTAGTAGCCACTTGGTGGTTACTAGCCGGTTAGAAGCCGGTTAGTAGCCGGTTAGTAGCCGGCTAGTGACCGCTTTTCAAGTGCCGGCTAGTAGCCGGTTTAGAACCGGCTACTAGTAGGTCTGCTTTAGAGCTCGGCTAATAGCCGGCTAGTGACCGCTTAGTAGCCGGTTAGTAGCCACTTTGTGGTCACTAGCCGGCTAGTAGCCGGTTAGTAGCCGGCTAGTGACCACTTTTCAAGTGCCGGTTAGTAGCCGGTTGTTAATGTGAAGTTGAGGAGCTGTTATTACAAAAGTGGCTACTAGCCGGCTAGTAGCCGGTGTTCATATGGTACTGTGCAGGGACGTTGCATAGACGTTGCATAGACGTTGCATAGACTGACCGTGCAGGGAGTGTGCATAGAGTGTTCATTGTGCAGGGACGTTGCATAGACGTTGCATAGACGGTTCTTTTGTTGTTGCACGGACGTTGCATAGACGTTGCATAGACTGTCCGGAGCTAAACGACCAACTTCCCCAACATAGCATATTAGCATACATTGGGTATACAATATACATTATAATACAATATAGGTTCCACTGCGGTCATTTAACACCCACACAGCCCGCAGCACTTTAGCACGCACACACCAATAACACACAGTTCTGATCACCAATACCACCAGGAGCCTACAAAGAACCTGCCATTATACCACATTTAGAAAGGAAACAGTCACTTTACCCCACTGCTAGCTACATTGTCTCCCCTCAACTATAGCGCTCCTTCCCAATCTCTTAGCTTGTCAAGCCAGCTTTATTCCTTTGTTAGTAAGATTACAACGAGAGTTTTAATGGCCAGTGTCCGTCAACAAGTCGACACAATACAGACTGACTGCATAGTTAGTTTGGTTTGATTAGGCGGGAATATAACGTCATCCGGATAAGTCACGTGACCAGTAGGCTTACAAAGCGTGCGAGGACAACTAGTAACCTGGTGTTGGTTGGGCGCTGTTTAACTAAAGGAAGGCAGACAAAGAAGAAGTTACAGTAATTTCCTGCTTTTCCGGGCGTCTTGGGGAAAAGAAATATTGTGGTTAATGGGAGATCCCGGATGTCGGGGCACAATAAAGCGTGGTTTACATCTCAGTGTTTTACTGTTTTACCTCGCTGAACTTAAGCACACTATTAGACAGAAGAAAAGACAGACAAGATATAAGTTACCAGACTGAACCCTTGGGTGTTATAAAAACAAAACAAGATAAAGTAGACGTTACCTGGCTGAACTCTATAGGAGGAAGGTCTGGTCCATTGAGCACACCTGATGTCAGAACATCTGAAAATACCATTGTTATCATTGTAATAGGAGATTAAATTGTAGATTAAACAAACTAATTTAAAATTAATTGAGATAAGTTTAATTCCACTTCGATTCAGCCAAGATTCGTAAAATACTTAACATAACATTGTCCAACAAATCCACGCCAATGTAAAGCAGCTATATCGGGGGCATTCATACCATGTTGTTTACAAAACACGTTAGTGACCAAGCTGCTACTCATTCCACAGCAGCGGTTTAACTTTAACAAACCCATGTTAGGAAAACTTAGGATCAGCAAAATAACGGCTATTCAAGCTAACACAAAGTTGATCAACTACCACGCAATAATTAATGAGTAAAACAGTGTTCACAAAGTAACGACTAAGTTTAACGAGTAACAACAGTAACATACAACGTTAACAGGGTGTGTAACAGCTAAATTTACTAACAGTAACCCCACCACACATAGCGACCACATCTTAGTGAGGGTCACACAATGATAGCCTCTCCCAGGTAGTGAATTATACGGGGAACGGGGGCTCTGTGTCACATGTCACGTGTTATAGGTTCTACATGTCACGTGACATTTGGGACCCTTTAACATGTCACGGGTTGTCAGGACCTACTAATAACACAGTATCTGTTGGGGGCCGTGGCTACTAGCCGTGTGGGGCGGTGGTGTACAATGTTTGTGTATATTTATAATATAATAACCACACAGCTACAATTACGTGAGGAGTACCTGATGATGATGCGTGGTGCTGGTTTTACGTGAGTATAAAACATGTATATTAACTACACGTACGTGTAGCATGCTGTGTGTTTAAATCTTTACAGTACGTTCGCGTTAGATTGACTTGTCATATTGTATTTTTACGGTGCCACATACACGCTTAACATTTATTACAAGAACTTATATTATTAGTTATGTTATTAGTGAGCAACAACTATCCCAGGGATGAACAATAAAATTCACAGAGAGGACTGTATTACACAACTTGGCACTAAGGTTTAGTGCGATGACACTTCACGCGCTATAACTTCTTAAACAGCACTCACTTCAACCCACTTTACAAAACACCATATAGCTACAAATATGTCACAAATATGTCATATTACAACCACTCTACAGCTCTGTGAGTACGCCATTTACTGGTGTAGTGACCACTGTAGTGACCACTGTAGTGACCACTGTAGTGACCACTGTAGTGACCACTGTAGTGACCACTGTAGTGACCACTGTAGTGACCACTGTAGTGACCACTGTAGTGACCACTGTAGTGACCACTGTAGTGACCACTGTAGTGACCACTGTAGTGACCACTGTAGTGACCACTGTAGTGACCACTGTAGTGACCACTGTAGTGACCACTGTAGTGACCACTGTAGTGACCACTGTAGTTACCACTGTAGTGACCACTGTAGTGACCACTGTAGTGACCACTGTAGTGACCACTGTAGTGACCACTGTAGTGACCACTGTAGTGACCACTGTACATGTAGTGATCACTGTAGTGACCACTGTAGTGACCACTGTAGTGACCACTGTAGTGACCACAACACTGTAGTGACCACCGTTGTGACCACTGGCACATTGGTCACTTTGCAGTTTACACACTATCAGTCTCACACAGCTCTCAAATCATCTTACTGTTGTCTTTCCATATCTTGATCCTACTCATCCAGGCCACTGTCCAGGCAACTGTCCACCACTTGAGGAACTCTAAATCGTTTTGTAGCAGAGGGTGTATGTGAGACAGGGGCAAGAGTACTGGCAGTGAGCAAAAGCAAACAAATCTCATCGGGGTAGTAATACAAATTAGGAAAATGGAAAGTTTGAATGTTGTCAAATCTGGGGTTTTATTGTTTCTAGATAATACTTTTTAGACTAATCGATTTTTTTATGAATGAAATGATAATTTATTTGTCGCCAACGACGATATTCCTGCAGATGAAGGCAAACTGGCGGTTAAGTTCAAATTGGGTATACTTTTGTGCTGTGAATAAATGACTAACTTATTAATAACGGTAGCACTTTCAATCTAAATTCATATAAAATGTCAATTCTTATAAGATGCAATTTTCTATTTCAGGAGAGTGTTTTTAGCAAGTCACCTTGTACTGCACGTGGCCAGGTAATAGCATAAACATGTGGAGGTGGCGAAAGATAGGTGGCAGCGATTAAGCAATCACAGTTTGGACAAATCACACCCAAGTATCGCTGTCACTTGTCAAAACAACCCCACCTCCCTATCATGACGCCTATTTCGTGACTTTAAAAACTGTTTTAACTCTGACGTTTCATGTTAATGACCTTAATTTGAAGTCCAATTGTCTCCATCGTCCTTCAATAGTCAATACTTGCAAACAATTTGGAAAAAATAAAAGGTCGGTAGTTCTATTGAATATCAAGAAATGCTTTGGCCTATTTGAATGTGCTTCATAGTTTCACTTATTGTATAAATGTGTTCTAGGATTGCATATACAATATAATAAACTCGATGAGAAATAAAGGAAGAAGTTTGAAAAAGATCAAGGTAAGAAAAGAAAAATAAGCAAAACTCACCTGTTAAAGAACCGAGCGAAGCAGTGCTGACTGATCTTCCGTGCTCCATTAGTACCCACTGTCTTTCTGCGTCACCTAACAGGGTAAGATGTAATGTTAGTACCCACTGTCTTTCTGCGTCACCTAACAGGGTAAGATGTAATGTTAGTACCCACTGTCTTTCTGCATCACCTAACAGGGTAAGATGTAATGTTAGTACCCACTGCCTTTCTGCGTCACCTAACAGGGTAAGTGTTCCATTAGTACCCACTGTCTTTCTGCGTCACCTAACAGGGTAAGATGTAATGTTAGTACCCACTGCCTTTCTGCGTCACCTAACAGGGTAAGATGTAATGTTAGTACCCACTGTCTTTCTGCGTCACCTAACAGGGTAAGATGTAATGTTAGTACCCACTGTCTTTCTGCGTCACCTAACAGGGTAAGATGTAATGTTAGTACCCACTGTCTTTCTGCGTCACCTAACAGGGTAAGATGTAATGTTAGTACCCACTGTCTTTCTGCGTCACCTAACAGGGTAAGATGTAATGTTAGTACCCACTGTCTTTCTGCGTCACCTAACAGGGTAAGATGTAATGTTGTCGCCCTATTTCCTTGTAAATGCCTCGCTATAAAGAGTGTTATAAAATTTGTAAGTTGTCCAAAATGTGAGCTTCTGTTCTATCTTTCCTCATTATTACAGTGTATGAGTCATTATTAACATCAATCAATCGATTATGTGACCTTAAATTAAGCTGTAGTAAGGTATATCCTAAAAGAATTAATTAATTTAGAGCAAGTAACTAGTGACAGAGTAAACAAACAATAGTGTGCAGCAGAAGGTACTCTACATAGTTAATAGACGACAAACCTGCACCTGTCATAACAATGACATACATAAATTTTCATGAATAAATATTATATTTCATAGTATATGATGAATACATGACATAGAGAAATGTAGTATGTAATTATAACAATGCACGGTAGGTACTTACTAAGATCATTTAGGTAAGGATGAAGCACGATCTCTGATGGCGTTATGTTACTTGACTGGTTAGACCAATCCTATAAAATATTGTTAATTACTAATATAGTCATTTTAACAAATTTATGGTAAAGATATTGGGTATTGTAGTAATGTACAGACTGATCAAATCAACATTATGTTCTAGCATGCTAACACGCCCAGCAATACAAAAAATATGCAAACTCAAGTCATAAAACATAAGTTAGGTTAAAGTGTACTTTTAAGATATTGTAATAGCAAAGATACCAGAGATCATCAAATAATGAGAATCTATCGTATCAAAGATATGTTTCAAATACTTTTCAAGGATTTCCCACTCAACATAAGTTACAATAGTACAGATTTGGTACAGTCAAAGCAAGCTCAGCAAATAGCCTTCTGCCTAATTTGAATCTTCGAGCATGACCATAACCTAAAGAATTGGATAGTGGTTATAATTGGTTCACAATGTCTTGCCCTAAAACAAGGTTCACAACATTTTCTTTTCACAGCCCATCCAGTCGTACCTTGGCGCTGGTCAAAAGCATAAAGATCTTAACTCGATCAGCTTGTTGAAAACCTGAAAATCGTGACCATGCAAACTCACACTCTTATCACTATCACATTTACTCACTGATGGAGTTAGTGATCTGAGGTCAGGAGTTAGGGGAATCAAACTAAAACGTCTTGGACTTCCCTGATAACCCTGACAGGTTGTTGCATGTCAAAATGATAAGTGCAGTTGTAGGCACCCAATGACAACACTCTAAAACTATGAATAAAATATATTGTTTAATAGTGTATCTGAGATGTATTTTTTTGCCCTGGAAATAAGCACTCCTCAGTATTGTTCAACACATCACAACATGCAACAGTTAGCCAAAGCAATTACTGGAGATAATGAATTAGATCGAGAAGAGCTGGATGTCGAGCTAGCGGGAGTAGGGCTGGGACTCATCAAATAGTAGCGTCCCAGTGGGTGGCCACTGGCATCAACAGGTACTGGTATTGGAGTGGGGCCACGAATTGGATGAGGAGCTGGTCCAAGACCCCTAAATTCGAAGCTTGACTCGGGGCTTGACTGGAAATGTACAGAATTTACATCAAAATTCTAAATTAAAAATTGATGATCACATTGATCAGTAAACAATGGTGAAACATCTTTATCGCCAGTCAACAATAAGGAGGAATTTGAAAGCTAGATCTGGTGAAGTTTTGGAAGGATGAAAAGTTGGCCAACTTTGGCTGAATCTACACTTTTCAATTTGAATTCCACTTATCTCTAATTGTTCCAAGTTTAATCAGCACAGTAAATACCGTTTGCAACGAATTCATGGTGGGTTCAGGGGTTTTAACATAGTTGTTTCCACTTCCAGGTAAACTAAGAAATCCATTTTCTTCTGGTGGAGTTGGTGGGGGACTGAGAACGTTCACCACTATCTAGTGGAGTGAATGTATTTTTCACACATGGTCAAACTACACTAACTACCGTAAAACCCTGATTTACAATACTAATTTCTCCTTCCCAATATGTGCAGCAAATCAGGATTTTACTGTATTCTGTAAGAAAAACATCATGGAATAATTATTTGAAAAATCAGTTCAATTGTTAATGCCTTTAACGAGTTGATTTTGATCAATTAATAGAAAAACCACTTTTCGACCATTTCAATGGCATAACTTTGACCTGATCAACTAGTCTTGCCAGCTCCTCATCATCCTCATCATCATCATCCATGGTACTAAAGGTGCTGTTTAGACTATTGGCCCTCCAAAAAGAAATGTTCTTTTCTCTGGGGGATAACAGATCGGCAGAATCAAATGAGTAGCGAACATCTCTTCTGTAGTGACTTGGGTACGATGGATGTTGTGATCCAGCTGACACAACTATCAATGGTTGTTGAGGAGGGTTATTCTCGCCATTGGTAATTACAACTTGTGGTGGACAAGAATCATCTCTTTCTCTTGAGCAACTTGGTTGCGATTGAGGTGTTGACTCAGGGGACACAACTATCAATGGTTGTGCACAAGGATTAGTGTCGCTGTTGGTAATGACAACTTGAGGTGGATGACTTTCATCATCAGCAAATATAAAAACATCAGGAATTTTCATCACTAGGAATTTCAATCCTTGATCCCAAATATTTTCCCTTTTACCATATAATACTGAAACAAAAACTGTAATAAACACAATGGTTTTACCGAAATCATAATTATAGGGACTACGGGTGGAAGATGAATAATTGATATTCCAACAGGATCTTGTTCCCTTCATTGTGCTGATTCCGGGAAGCATTCTGTTTACGCTCTCATCATTCTGTAGGATGAGATATCGTTCATTTAAAATTGGGTAATTATAGGCCTGTCAAAGATTGCAGCCCAATTAAGAGCTGATCAATTGCAGCTCATTGTGCCATATAAGGGATAACTGAGGTCACGTGACAGTCGGTCCTATCACGTGACCTTGATTCGTAAATCCTCGAGCACGTGATCACATTCGTAACGTGTCGTATGCCGACTAGGATATTTTGTGACGTCACCAGAGCTCAAGTGACTTGATCAGGCCTTATATGGAATAATATAGTGTTTCGCATGTAATTGGACCCAATTAGAGCAGCTGAGCGCTCAATTATAGCAGCATCTGGTACCACCTTCTGAAACCCAGCAGACAGCTGGCTCAGAGAATCAAAAATAGAAGGATTTTTTATGGATGAAAATCGAAGGGAAAACCTTGTAACCCTACGTTTTCGATGACGCTGAACAAGATTAAACCGGTTATAATTATCATACTATCGTGTAAATTGCTTTAAAACGTAATTGAAATTTGAATGATGCTATCAATTGTAATACAATTTGTACAAAAAGCTGAGCGGCTTAACCGCTGGCATTCCTTGGCCGCGCTCATCCCAGCTTGTCATTCCGCCTCAGCTTCACTGTTTGTGAATATTACAGCCTGGGGTCCCCAGGTAACCGGTAACGGCTGGCATCGCTATCTCTGTATAATCGAAGTTTTTGTAAATACTTACGACTAGGTTAACGCTCCTGTTATGAGAATGTTCCCCTTCCGTTGTACATTACTTAGGATCGTTAAACTGTGTTTTTTTGGATAGACCATTGAGCCATTAGCCATAATATGTTCATTATATGCAAGCCTCTTGATTTATAACAGAACTTATGATTGTCCGTTCTATTTTGTGTACAATTTTGTGTAAAGCTATCTCATTACCTTCTGCCTCAAGTTTAAAGTTAACCTTACATTTTACTTGGCATCTGTAGTTAACATTACCTTGTGTCTTACATCTAGAGTAACATTAGGTTGTGTCTTACATCTGTAGTTAACATTACCTTGTGTCTTACATCTTGAGTTAACATTAGGTTGTGTCTTACATTTGTGGTTAACATTAGGTTGTGTCTTACATCTGGAGTTACCATTACCTTGTGTCTTACATCTGAAGTTAACATTACGTTGTGTCTTACATCTGTAGTTAACATTACCCTGTGTCTTACATCTAGAGTTAACATTATGTTGTGTCTTATATCTGGAGTTAACATTACCCTGTGTCTTACATCTAGAGTTAACATTAGGTTGTGTCTTACATTTGTGGTTGACATTAGGTTGTGTCTTACATCTGGAGTTACCATTACCTCGTGTCTTACATCTGAAGTTAACATTACGTTGTGTCTTACATCTGTAGTTAACATTACCCTGTGTCTTACATCCGGAGTTAACATTAGCTTGTTTTTTACATCTGACCAGTTAACATTAGGTTGTGTCTTACATCTGTAGTTAACATTACCCTGTGTCTTACATCTAGAGTTAACATTATGTTGTGTCTTATATCTGGAGTTAACATTACCCTGTGTCTTACATCTAGAGTTAACATTAGGTTGTGTCTTACATTTGTGGTTAACATTAGGTTGTGTCTTACATCTGGAGTTACCATTACCTCGTGTCTTACATCTGAAGTTAACATTACGTTGTGTCTTACATCTGTAGTTAACATTACCCTGTGTCTTACATCTAGAGTTAACATTAGGTTGTGTCTTACATTTGTAGTAAACATTAGGTTGTGTCTTACATCTGACCAGTTACCATTACCTCGTGTCTTACATCTAGAGTTAACATTAGCTTGTTTTTTACATCTGACCAGTTAACATTAGGTTGTGTCTTTCATGTGGAGTTAAGATTACCTTGTGTCTTACATCTGGAGTTAACATTAGCTTGTGTCTTACATCTGGAGTTAATATTACCTTGTGTCTTACATCTAGAGGTAACATTATGTTATAATACCGTACATGCGGAGTTAACGTTACATTAAACCTTACATCTAAAGTTAACATTATGCTGTACCCTACCATGATGTACCTTACATTCCTTATTCCGGTTTATTCGACATTCATTATATGAACTTTGCCTGATACAACAATGTAGTTTGCATGAAATATAACTTGTTTAAAATTCCAACTCTGGGAATGTAACTGGATTATCAGCGAGTTACAACCAGCCTAGCTGTTCCTCAACTCCTGACGATAGCGACCCCATTCAGTGGGTTCACCTAACTAAATATATGCTGTACGGTATTTGGAAAGAAAGTAGAACGTATGATAGCTTTTCATATATTTGCCAAATACTGAAGTCTTAATCACAATATTTTTCGTAATATTATGGACACTGTTCATTTGATTTTGAGGTTATTGGTAAATATAAGTGACCCTATTAAACTTAAAGGCACAATATATCATTGTAATACTAAACCTAATGTTTACTACAAATGTAAGACACAACCTAATGTTAACTCTAGATGTAAGACACAGGGTAATGTTAACTACAGATGTAAGACACAACCTAATGTTAACTCTAGATGTAAGACACAGGGTAATGTTAACTACAGATGTAAGACACAACCTAATGTTAACTGGTCAGATGTACTGTAAGACACAACCTAATGTTAACTCTAGATGTAAGACACAGGGTAATTTTAACTACAAATGTAAGACACAACCTAATGTTAACTCTAGATGTAAGACACAGGGTAATTTTAACTACAGATGTAAGACACAACGTAATGTTAACTCCAGATGTAAGACACAAGGTAATGTTAACTACAGATGTAAGACACAACCTAATGTTAACTCTAGATGTAAGACACAAGGTAATGTTAACTACAGATGCCAAGTAAAATGTAAGGTTAACTTTAAACTTGAGGCAGAAGGTAATGAGATAGCTTTACACAAAATTGTACACAAAATAGAACGGACAATCATAAGTTCTGTTATGGCTAATGGCTCAATGGTCTATCCAAAAAAACACAGTTTAACGATCCTAAGTAATGTACAACGGAAGGGGAACATTCTCATAACAGGAGCGTTAACCTAGTCGTAAGTATTTACAAAAACTTCGATTATACAGAGATAGCGGTGCCAGCCGTTACCGGTTACCTGGGGACCCCAGGCTGTAATATTCACAAACAGTGAAGCTGAGGCGGAATGACAAGCTGGGATGAGCGCGGCCAAGGAATGCCAGCGGTTAAGCCGCTCAGCTTATTGTACAAATTGTATTACAATTGATAGCATCATTCAAATTTCAATTACGTTTTAAAGCAATTTACACGATAGTATGATAATTATAACCGGTTTAATCTTGTTCAGCGTCATCGAAAACGTAGGGTTACAAGGTTTTCCCTTCGATTTTCATCCATAAAAAATCCTTCTATTTTTGATTCTCTGAGCCAGCTGTCTGCTGGGTTTCAGAAGGTGGTACCAGATGCTGCTATAATTGAGCGCTCAGCTGCTCTAATTGGGTCCAATTACACGCGAAACACTATATTATTCCATATAAGGCCTGATCAAGTCACTTGAGCTCTGGTGACGTCACAAAATATCCTAGTCGGCATACGACACGTTACGAATGTGATCACGTGCTCGAGGATTTACGAATCAAGGTCACGTGATAGGACCGACTGTCACGTGACCTCAGTTATCCCTTATATGGCACAATGAGCTGCAATTGATCAGCTCTTAATTGGGCTGCAATCCTTGACAGGCCTATAATTACCCAATTTTAAATGAACGATATCTCATCCTACAGAATGATGAGAGCGTAAACAGAATGCTTCCCGGAATCAGCACAATGAAGGGAACAAGATGCTGTTGGAATATCAATTATTCATCTTCCACCCGTAGTCCCTACATAATTATCAAATTAGAATTCATCAAATATATGGTGTATGAAGACAATTAATTTACTAGTTTCAGTAACCCTCTAGTTCCATGGCCAATTTTTCACTGTATAAATACGCTCAAAAAAAATATGTACGATTTTTTGGCTCTCTCTTTTCGATTCACTGCATCAATTGAGCTTTAAAAATCGTAAACATGTTTACGATTAAATTTTTCCCACTATTAGTACAGTCGCTATGGTCGTAATCGATATTATAATTGCATTTTGTTGTCCCGCAAGTTTCTGGGATCAACTATCTTCCGTTAAAACTTGTGTGGCCGCAGTCCTGATCTTGCCCGACACCACCAATAGTAATAGTAATCGATTACTGCGTGCAAATTAATACAGGCATGGAACAGGTCACCCGTATTAATTTTATTTCACAAATAAACATTTTTTTCACTGTATTAATTGGCCATGGAACTAGAGGGTTAGAAATAATATCAGAAGGAGACAAATTTGGGATGAAATTGTGAATCTAAGCCGAGAACAGTTTCATGGCATTGGGTTTATCTATGTGACATTAAAAATGACTCACTGGGAATGAAAACTGGGTATACAAAAATACAAGGATACAAAAGTGATAATTACTTTATTCAGTACACAACAGTTAAAAACAATTCCAATTATTTACAGATGTGTTGGAATGATATAGAAATTTATAATAAGCTAGTTGAAAAATAAATTGAATTTGTGGAGTTCGATTTTATTTTGAGATCCTATTATATAGGATATATATTTATTATATATATATGAAGAGCCAGCTTTAGAAGATCCAGGCCACGCCTCTCCAGACTCAGCTGAGGATTCTAATTCTGGAGGTTACTTCCCTTGTGCTAAGAAATGTGATATATGCAAAAACTTCCTGAAACCATCAACCACCATCCAGAGGCGGCTCGTGGGAGCTGGCTGGCAGTTGTGTTGGGGGTCCAATCGATGGACTGGGGGGGAGGGGGGGAGGGGTGCTTGGGAGCCGGCTCAAGCTGATCCCTCCAAACTACTGATTACATTACACACAGGGCCTTGTTATATGTAATGTGTAACACTTTACAGGCGACAGCAAACAAAAACAAAAACTTATAACATGGTTGAAACAGGACACCACACGTGTACGATCTTAGCCGCGCAGTATCATAGCGGTCAATAGTTCAAACTGCAAAGGGTCCTGGACCCTCAAATCGAGGCAAATCATAATAGATTACCTGTAATGGCATGCGCACGATGTGCTTTGTAACGTTTACAATTAACTATGTGTTAAAACTGCGCGGCTGAGTAGTCCAATGGTAGGGTTGGACTCCCTACAACACAAAATTTCACGAAGATCATGCGTGCGCTTACATTAAAACGTATGATAGTGAATAAAGAGCTTAATATTGTGATTTGTTATTTCCTAACACTATTACTAATTACTATTTCTATTTTAAGCACCAGCCACCAGATAATAATTTAAGGGCGTCCACGGACGCCTGGACGCCCTCAATAGCCGCCTCTGTCACCATCGGCAGTTTCCACACCAACTAAGTATTCAGTATCAAAGGACGATTGGACTGTGATACCAAAAATGTTGTACACATAGTTAATGATATTAATTGTAAGTTAAGTTATATAGGATGTAATTCAGACTCTCTAAAGGTTAGATTTATGAACCATAAATCTCACATTAAAACCCAAAGAAGGACTTTCCTGCCATTTTATAGATTTAATGAGATTTTGCACAAAAAAACAACAATTTCAAGAAAACAACAATTCTATTCAGTATCAATTGAAGCAGACAAAAGTATATTTCATATATATATAAGATCAGATATCTTGTGGGACTTGGAGTAGCAAGAGATTGACTAGAAGGTATATACCTTTTACAAAGATACGTCGAGAAGAATCCAGGGTGATACAGGATCGGAGAAACACAATCTTGACCGTACCACCACTAAGTTTTTTACCAGTACTTTAAATATAGTATATGGAAGTAATGTATAGTAAGGACATTTATGTTTCTATTATAGAGAAAGTTGACCTAGGGAATTTTGAGCAATGTGCCCAGGATAGACTAAGTATATTATGTAAACAAAGGGAGAACTTTTGACAAAACCAGCTTAAAACTGTAAAACACTTTGGAGGGAAGAATGTTAGAGAAGAAAGATGATTTTTTTTTCTTGCATATTTTATTTTATCACCTCTACCACTCATTTGGGATTTTCACCCACCAGTAATTTGAATTGCTGAGTTACGTAAATTTTTGTAGCGCGATGCGTTACTGTGCCGCGCCGCGCACTCAATGAGGCTTCTCACGGCGAGATGCGCTACTGTGCCGCGCCGAGCTGCCATGAATTGACATCGTCAATTAACGTAAATTTCTAAATTTTTAATTTCTATTTATTTGATTGATTGAATGATTGATATTTTGAATAAATTTGCTAACATGTCTTTACCTGGGGACCCCAGGCTATTATGTTCATAAACATAATAGCCGAATAAAGATTCGGCGGAATGACCGGCTGAGCGCCGCCCAGTAAACATGTCTTTATATTAAGATGACTGTAAAAGTACTGTAAAAGTACAGGGTGGGCCAAAAGTCAGTACCCATACGTTGGCCTTTATAGCTCAGTCACTGAGTGCCCAATTTAAATACTTCTTTCTGGTATGACTTAGTACCACCACTGGTTCGAGGAATTTGTCAACTCGAAAAATATTCGCGTTCATTTTTTTCAAATGGAGGTTCATTTTCACATTTATTTGATAGTTTGGATAGTCGGATCAAGCTAGATGTTATGGAATTGTGTTTGGCCATTCGAATTACGTTTGTCCTGAAAGAATTAGAACTGGACAACCCCCGGAAAATTTTTGCGAAACAGGGTGTTTTAGACGACATTTGGCATTAAAGACATTTGTAGGACAGCAATAAACTGGGATTGAAAAGAATCAAGTACTCACGTAAATTTGGTAACTTCACAACAGCAATCTACATTCTCCAATCAGAATTTACGACTTACTCAAGCCTCCTCGTCTTAAGATTTTTACATTTCCTACGGTCTAGGGGACACTATTGACTATTTATAGAAGTCTTCTAGAATGTTTGCTTGGATTTAATGACAGATATTTACTAATCCACAGTTCAAATCTTTGACTGACTGCAGTCATAAACACAGCCCAGTTACCAGGCGACTAGGGGGCTTATCTTTTTTCTGGGGTTTGATTTTTTCCGGGGGGGCTGCCGCCCCCCTAGCCCCCCCCCCCCCCTGTCTACGTGCCTGAGAGTAGCGAGCAATAGACTAGCAAGCTAGGTAAGGTCGGGCAATCATCTTGAACCAACACAAATGAAACAATAATTGAAAGAGTAATCTTAACTGCTAAGATTATTAATATACCGAAAAATCAATAAACACATGATTTAAAGGGTAATGCCAAGGGAGCAGACTAGAGTTCAATTGACAAAATATCATCAAAATTCGCTCTCGGAAAACATTAACATTTCATATCCTAATAATTCATAGCTTTAACATCAGTCCTGAGATAGTATCCACGAGATTTCCAGTCGGCTCCGGTTATGAGATCAGTCGAGATCGTGAAAAGTAGTGAGATCTTAGTGAGCTACCCTACTAGTTAATATTACAATCATATGTTATAATCATTACAAACCTTTTAATACGGTAAAATTTTGTAACAAGGTTTCAAACACGATTGGGGAATATTTGTTATCTAGAACATTCACGAATCCTTGTGCTTGACACACGTGCGGCACATGCTCTTCTTATGAAGTGCGCGCGTCGAGCACAAGGTTTTGTGAAGCTAAAACAAGATGTGGATCCTACGTTTTTAGTGTGACACTACAATGTGTTCGTACAAATTATTCATTATTCATCTCATATTTTACTATCATACTATTTACATGCAAATAAACAGAAGCATAAAAACATCTCATTAAAGATCGGAACGACTAGCTCCAGCTCTATCAAGGCGTGGGATGAGTCGATAGGTGAAAAACACGAAAATTGAATACACTAAACATGAAGTAAAGTTGACGTGAAGTTGTAAAATGTGTAAAGCCCGAAAAAAGGATATATCCAAAATGAATTAATGATAAAGTACTAAAACACATTACACCGCAACAAATCACAACTAAAGAGAAATAAGGAATATTAATACATATAGAGGACAGTACTACGTGGTATTAATTCTAATCTTAGAATTTATACGTTATTTCACGGAACACCTGATTACGTGTTGTGACGTCATACACCACGTGCTATGAAATCACTCGCCATTTTAGCTTTTTAACCAACAATTAACTACAGTGCAAGTGTAATTTTCACTAAAGAATATGATAAACTGTCAGTGGTGTTCTCTCTTTAAAACTAATAGCGCCTCATTTCTAGTCTATAATAACACACAAATTTTCTTCTTTCTTCGTTCGCCTATCCCAGGATTTTTGCTGTTTATTTGATGCACCAAATCGCAGAAAATCTGAGGGAAAATGAATTAGATAAAAACAAAATATATGACGTTAATTAGGCAAGTAGGTATGGTGATAGTAGAAATTATTCTCCAATCATGGGGAAATCAAAATATTGCTTAAAATCAATTAAGGTTCCCAACGAGTTTTAACATGAACCCCTGCTTTACTTTAAGTTATAAATAACGATTTTGTCCAGAGTAAATCACTGCTCAGGACTTTGAATACCCAAGATATAATGATGTGGCAAATGATTCACAAACACACACACACACACCATACTTTCTTTGTAATCAACTAAATGTGCAAAACACTCTCCCGAACACACACGTGCATGTGCACGCACACACACACACAGCCCGCAGCAACCCTGACATGCTCAATCAATGCTGGTAAAAGCTCACATTGAATACTCTTATAGTAGGACGCAGCAAGAGCCGCTACTGTCGTTCCCCTTGCCGACTCCCGGGGTCTTGCTATTTATTTGACGAACTAAGTCTATGAAAATCTGAAATTCAAGGTACAATTCTTCGACAGGACGTCCTATTCATTTCTTAACATGGACCTTTGAATTCGGACCAGATTAAATTAAAGCTAATACACCTGAGGTTAGATACTTGAAATACCTGGCTCCATCTTGATTTAAGAATAAAGATTTAAAGAGAATGGAGACATTTCTCTGTCTCTGTTGATGAGGAAATTGAATGAGACAAATCTGTATCCTTGATTAAGGTTCGAATTCGATTGAAGTGAAAATAAAGAGGCAGATGTGGCTAGATAAGACTGCTAGAGTATAGTATAATAATCCTACTTGCTGGTAACCTAATTTCCAGACGCAGCGCGCTACAAAATACGGTCGCGCGCGATCAGAAAATGCCCACAACAATCGTAGACCTACTACGGCATTTTGCTAGCAATAACAGATGACACACGGAAGCAGATGTAGAAAGCTTGTCTAATTCACATCACGCAAATCAATCATTACCTCGTTAACGTTTATTTTCTGCTTGGCAGACGTCTCCATGAAAGTGCAATTGTTGAATTCCTTACTGAGTTGGTTTCCCTGGTCCTTCCCTACGACTCGTTCATCTTCCAAATCGCACTTGTTTCCCACAAGGCACATAGGGACCTGAAACATTCAGTTCATTCAATTATCTGCTAAAATCAATTGGTATCATTCTTGGAATATTTGTCTTTTACTCGATTACACAGCGTGTAGTTCATGAACTTCTAGGGAAACGATTAGAATACTGTGGAAGGTACGTTTATCGAGTGCTTTAGTAGATCTAGTTACTTGATACCATCACATTTCAGAATTCAGTGATGAGATGATACTATCATACTATCATATTTGAGTGACAAGTTTGGCTAATTTTATGCAATTCATTCGGCATCATAACTCATTTGATGACTTATGATAACGGCTCTGTTTTTATGCGAGCTTAAACTTATGATACAAATTGCAATAAAAATTTGTCAAAGAGACTAACAATCCCTATAAGGTAAATATTTGTCCCATTTTATGTTTAAAATCGTCAGTATGATAGCCAACAAAATATCCCACAACTTACATCATAAATCAGTGATGTAAGGTATTAGATATCATACTAAGGGTATAAGGTATTTATTAGTTTAAAAAAACTTACATCATCTCTGTCCTTGACTCTGAGAATCTGTTCTCTGAGATCTTGTAAGTCATTGAAAGTAGACTGCGACGTGATGGAGTAAACCAATATGAAACCTTGTCCGTTCTTCATGTAGAGATCCCTCATTGCGGTGAATTGTTCCTGTACGCGTAAAATACTGCTGTTAATTTTATAAGCTACTTAGTCACTTAGTAGCTAGATTCAAGTGTTATAAAGGCAGCGAGATGCAGGCAGTAATGTATTGCTTGACAACTTCATGGGACAATGTACACATGTTATATTATGCTTGATTGAGTGAACTTAGAGAAGTATTAAAAATGTGATCTAAAGAAAACACACGTCACTTGACTGAGTGTACTCAGAAAATAAAGCCGCGCACACATTAAACAGTACGGCTTAGTGAGCAGTTTAAAAACATGACGGCAGTTCTAAGGAAGATATATAGCAGTCATTACCGTGCCGGCGGTGTCAAGGATTTCCAACATACACTGCTGATTGTCAATCTCAACTTGCTGAAATGATTTTTGTATGTTAACTCTGATTTAACTCACAACAAAGCATCAATTAAAGTAGTTACTAGTAGGTTACTAGTAAGGTCAGACTAAAGCTCTGAAGTTATAATCGACTGTAATGTTGTTGTTCTGTAATTGTATTGTACTGTAATACGGTAATGTATGTTAATAATTAATAAAGCTACGTAGTATCTTATGAGCTGAGTATTTCACTATCTTACCTTTCTGTAGGAATCTTCAATTGTTGGATCGTACTTCTCTACGAAAATACCCTGTACAAACTGCACCGTCTGAAAAGTTAAATTGTTTAGTAAACCTGAATACTTTAAAAAGGAAAGATTCTGTTCAAACATTCGTAACCTCTAAAAATAGTTCCAGTACACTGAAAATACAAGATATTTTTTAAATACAGCAAACTGCGACCATCTGGTGGACTGTATATTATTATACACGAGACTACAAACTCGAATAGTGGGCACCTTACTTAAAAATAATACTCAAGCTGTGAGCTCCATTATCAAATAATAATAGCCTCGACTACTTACCAACGCAGATTTTCCGACACCACCAGATCCGAGAACTACAAGCTTATATTCCCTCATCCTGTCTTGCCTTGCTAATAACAGTCAAACAGTTAGCTAACCATATATTAATCAACTTAATACTTAACCAACATTATATATAATACAACAACTCACGTAATGTAAGCTCTATTACATTGTTGACGGTAAAATAATGACCTCTAGTAAACATTCGAGTTTACTGTATATATCCACAACAATTCCTTAGTCTGGTTATAGTGGATATGTTTACTGTTTAGTATTACGGCCTCCCACAACACCCAAAACATAATATAATCAGTCTCATCTCAAATTCTCAAAGTAGGGAGATTGTTTTACAAGAGAAAAAGAAATTAGTGTCACCAGAATTAAACTATAATAACTATTATATATACGATTGGAAATCAAACTCTGAACTGAACAATAAGTGGTTAGAGCTGTAACAGAAAATATAGGACACACAGCGCTACACACAGTTTCTTAACATCTCCGCCTGCACAGAGAGCCGCTATATTTAGCGAATAAATTAACGTTACACTACAATTCATATAATGCTGCACAGATAGGTCACAGCTCACTGTCCAGTCAATTAGCAAATCAATTATAATCTGATTTTCAGGAAGAGTATTTTTATCTGCCGTTTTTATGAAGGAGCACCAGCCGTTTTCCACACGAACAGAGCAAACATGAAAATTACACGAAAATAATTAAAAGTTGGCGGGTGGTGGCCGGTGCAGGATGAGAAGAAGAAAATAAGAGATTTGTTATTAAATCAGAGATAATGAGCATGTAAGGAGTTCCCCACACAATTACACACCGTAACTAATGTACGTGACAATACAGTTTACAAAGTGAGGCGTAAAAGTGGGCGAGTTTCACGCTTTAATAAAGTCATCATCAATACAAAATGTTGTCATCAATATAAAATATTGATGAAAGTACAGGTAACTTTTAAACTATCCTAAAAAGGGAATTAAGTGATAAGACAAAAGAAAAATTGCTAGCAACATCAGCCATTAATCATAAAATAGACAAACCATAATCGATTAAATGATGAGCGAAACAAAGCTAGATATACTACGACACTAGTTAGACTGATGTGGACGCGGAGATTTGACAGGTTAAAACTCGGACAGGTAACACCGGCAGTATTAAGTCATCCTGCTTCGTGTTGAGATATTATTAGATATTGTAATAAGTAATAACGTACAGCTTTAAAATAATGGTACAGCTTCAGGAGGGGGGTGCCAAAGATCAGTACACATGCGTAATGCGTATGTGACTTTAGCACCCACGGCGGCCGGCCCTCCCTGTATAAAAACTCGCCAAGTCTGCCCTTTTAAAACTTGGAATGATTGGATATTTAGTAGCAAAATAATATAATACCATATAAGACTACATTACAGGGGGCATACTAGGTTCCGTACAGACTCAACTCTGCACCCGTGTCAATATGTTCATTATATGCAAGCCTCTTGAATTTATACCCTATAGGAGCATAAGAGCTAGCTATTATAGTTCAAATAGCTTTAAGTAAATATCAACTTTGTACAAAGCTTAGATAAGATACAGGTATTGAAGAAAGTGCTCTCAGAAATATAACAATAACGAAGATTATCAGCTAACAAAAGATAGCAATTTAGTAAGATATATAACTATATAAGCGAGTGTGTGGCTATCTAACTCTCATTATATCGGTCTGTCATCATGAGCAGCTCACAGTCCAGCAACATATAGAGGGCTAAGAGGGCCCTCTTAGCCCTCTATATGTTGCTGGACACTTACTGCTGACACTCTGTTATCATTCTGTTTCTGTTACGCTTTACAGCTCATCCTTTCTTACACTCTTCTTTCGGCACAGTTCCTTCACTTACAGCAACATTTCTCGGGGGGAGGTTAAATTCCTTAAACGAATCATTTAAAACATTAATTAAACTATATTCAGGAATGTAGCTGTGAAACAGTACAGAAATGTTGCTGTAAGTGAAGGAACTGTGCCGAAAGAAGAGTGTAAGAAAGGAGGAGCTGTAAAGCGTAACAGAAACAGAATGATAACAGAGTGTCAGCAGTAAGTGTTACTCTGCTAGTAACATCTAGTTAGGGCGGAGCAACCAAGGTGACAGCATTAACAGTGAGCTAACAAACTAGCGAAGTCCTACAAGGTAGTAACTGGCTCTCCCTCTCCCTCTCTGTTCTACCATACTGGATTACATTATAATATCTTATATCTTACACTCCCGATAAGGCACTGGATCACATGATATCTTACTATACACTCTTGATAAGACATGTACACTGGATCTACAGTCTACACGCACATTATAAATAACACGAATGTCACAATAATAATATCACATGATAAACTGAGGGAAGTTCGTCACACTATCAGAATAATATGACATCCGGAGTAAAGTATCTCACACCAATATAGATGTGTCAGTACGGGCCCTGTACTGTGACACGAGCGCGGGAACCTGACATTCTTGACATCTTTACGAGTTCACATTACCGTATATGAGATGATACAGGGGAGACGTGGCAGTTACTTTCACTGTCACTGAGTACGTATCAAATTAGGGACCCACTGCTTATTTGGTTGTGTGTGTAAAATATTGGTTTTATGGTCCGGTCTGCTGGATGCTTTTATCTATCAAGAACATCCTTGCCAAAGTTATTACAGCTTTCGGTCAGTTGTGCGTACAGTTTTCAACTTTCGATTGAAGAATATAAGAAATAAAAATGGTCACCTCCTTTACTCACGATTTGACAGGCTAGTGTATGTTTGCTTTAATAAAGACGAGTGTACATTTTTGAGAATTTAATTTATAAATACTGTATGAGATTGCTAACCATCGCATCATGTAATTAATTAGATACTACTCAATTCAATTATCAACTGATAGATTCCATGTAAGATTATGTTAAGTTTGTAGCTGAAAAGTTCGAGAACATTCATTCGCAGATTTTCAATTCCAACCACTTTTAATAACTATACGTAAAAAAAGATCACCTAATTGTACAGGTTAGCAGCAACCAGGCAGATCTCCTCTCCTAGCAAAAATGAACGCCACTCCCCAACCCTTAGAGTTGTTCTTTACAGTTACTACTTTCTTGTAATGTACACATCTCACTACACATTACTATTAAGTACTCACCGTAATATTTCACAAAGTCGAAATTACACAAAAGGATGATCGCATCATGCAGTGTACACGCACGTAGAAGCTACTCAATAATTAGGATGGTTTATAAGACTCTCAGAAGTGAATATTAAGACGCTCAGAAGTAGATATCAACACTCCCAGATCTTCATTCAGTAACTTTCTAACGTCTGTATAATCTTTAATAAACCATGACTTGATATTATGACTCGAAAATATTTTGCATAACGATAGTATCTAGTGTCTAGGTGTCTTTGATCAATTTCCTTACATTTGAAGATCAACTTGTACTGTTAGAATAGTCATTAAGGTTGATAAAAACCATCAAAGCTCAAAATGTGCTTTTTGTAATGCTTTTTCCAGTTTTATAGCAAAATATGCCTGTTTACTGATATGTAAGGTTAATAAATACACATACAAATTCTCCAATAGCAGTCCGCAGAACAACTAAAAAACAAAAAAAGCGGACTATTTGGCCGTAGCAAAGGAATAATTCTGCTTCCCGAAATAGCAAACCTGGCTACAAACTACAGAGTAGTGGAGCAGGTCTGTCAGCTGGGAAGGACAGACCCACGTGACACTCACGTGACTAGATGCTGTCATCTCATTGAGTCATTCACCAGAGACACTGTGCAACATGAATATAATTAGTGCAACCAGGAAGAAGAGAATTTAGTAAGCATTACAACCGCTATAAAACATGTTGTATAAGTAATACTGGGCAGCAAGTGTTACTAAGCGGATCACAATCATTACCAAGTTGTACAAAACAAGGTGACAGTTAAACTGCTTCACAGTTAAAACTCTACATCGTCTGCTCGAGAGACTGTGGTTTAACTTTATTAATATTACAGTTAAGAAACCAGCTTTGTGCAGGAGATTTGTGGATATAACGCCACCATTAAACTCAAATTTAGTGCGGTACTTGACTAATTTATTCAATTTAGTTTCCATGAAGGCGAGAACAGCAAGCGTAAAAATAATGTAGGAATCACGTATAATTAATCAAGATAAGCCAGCTTCCACTACTATACACCAAATAATTATAACAAACAAAATATAAGCCCTGAAGCAGCAGAGAAAGAAGGATGCTCATTTCTACACCAGGATGTATTTAAAGAAACACCCAGACTGGACCTATTGAATGACAGTGACACAGTTCTTTTGTTGTGGTATTGGTCAGTTTAATCTTTTAAAGTAACTTTATTTGTTTTAAACGGTTTGCAGACAATAAGATAGTCAGAGTTGCACAATGTGTTGCGGACAAGTACTGATGATCTGTTTATGGGTTAAACTTTTATTAATGATCACAAAAACATGCACTATTATTTATAGACAACAGTATCAACGTCATGCTTTCTTATTTTCCTTCCCTTCTGCACTCAATTTCACCTTCCCCTATGTTCGTTCCCTCCATGAATCATCATCTCCTATTATACTTCGTTCCTTCACTCCATCACTCCTGCACTCATTAGTCATTATCTTGTTCTCCTTTTCTAACTCGTCCCATCACTCCTTTACTCCTGCACTCCTTTACTCCTGCACTCATCATCTCGTTCTCTTTTTCTAACTCGTCCCTTCACTCCATCACTCCTGCACTCATTATCTCGTTCTCCTTTTCTAACTCGTCCCTTCACTCCATCACTCCTTGACTCTCGCACTCATTCTCCTCTTTTCTTCACCACTTCACTCTTTCTCAGAGACTCATCTTACATTTAGAAATAAAGAGTTGGAACGAACGATAAAGTAGCCATCACCTGACCTACTCCTGGAAGTGTTACATTTCATATACCGCCTCTTCCACCGGGGCCCTGTTTTATTGTATATATTATATTGTATATATTATATATATTATATAATATAGCCCAAATATATCACCGCAGAAACTTTCGACCATTTTCAGAGCTCTTTCTTATAATCTATTTCTCACCTGGACTACTAAATATATATAAGTTTACAGAGGGAATGAAATGGCCGGCAAACCTTAAGATCTCTATTAGCAGTGAAGAACGCCATATAAAATATCACAAGTAAACGGAAACTAGATATTATATACTAGGAAAACGCGACACTTACTTCCAGCACACAAAATCGTAGTTCATTAAGATATCGCCAAATATAAAGGTACAAAAATCAACACCTACCGAACAACGAATATTTTTACGAATGATATGACCAATTAAAAGGTCATATTTCAAAAGAAGAACGAGCTCTAGTTGAGTGATGCTGAGCTAGCGTACAAAAGGTGCAATATGTTGGAGAGAGCAGCTGGAGGGAGGGAGGTGATGACAACTTACACTCCGCAGTTATCTCCAGCGATGGAGTTTTAAAGTACAAACTTCAGCACTGTTACATCACCAGCAGAGAGTGAGAGAGAGAGAGAGAGAGAGAGAGAGAGAGAGAGAGAGAGAGAGAGAGAGAGAGAGAGAGAGAGAGAGAGAGAGAGAGAGAGAGAGAGATAGGGAGGCCTCTGTAGTACACCTCGCTAGAGTTACGAATACACCCCTGCTCAAAATAGCAGACTATTTAGTTCCTGGTATATTACAATGGTTTCATTAGTGTGTAATAAGTTGTAATGAAGTATACAGAACTTGGTGGATCTACCTTCTATCATAATATAGTAACCCTAAATTACCAGGTGGCAATCAACTAAAACCATAAATCTTGATGAGAACTTTTAACTGAGAACTGAACTGAAGAAATTCGGAGAGTGATCTCCAAGCTAAAAAAAACGTACCAACCTAAAAAGCCTCGTTAAAACTAATAAAAAGACGATAACGTAATAAAGAAGATTACGTGTTAGAAGACACGTAATTAGAAGACAGATTACACAGCCGGCCCCTGACACACACAGTTCCACTTTATCCGGAATGTGTGGGTGTTACACACGTGATGAAACCACTGTTAGGTCACCGGATCATGTTACAGTAATAAATAAGCCATTACTCACGGTCTCATCACTGATAATGTGTCAGTGAGGCTACTGTACACGTCTGAAGTGATCTCTGAACATTGTCTGTCTAGTGTGGTCCATAACTCACTTTCAGAGCATAACTTGAGTTTAAAACTAGAGTTCGATGGAGTTTAGAACAACGTGACGTTGTTCTAAACTCCATCGAACTCAACGTCCGAAAAAGCTGACATCGGAATTTGTGGTACACGTCGCCAAAGTGATTACAGAAAACTAAGTTCAATAATAATATATACTAGTCTCTAAAAAGTACAATGTGACGAGCTGCTCAATACGGCAATGTTCATGTCGCATATTTGGAGATGACATATAACATTGGAATCCGTGAAATCACATTCATGTCACATTCAGAGTTGTGCAGTAAGAGTAAAATTATATTGTTCAGTATGGAGCATCACGGCTCTCAACAGATTAAGTGAAACAAGGCAAATGACTGGCATGGTGAAAACTAAATAAAATAATCGACGTTTCGGCACTCATTGACCTTTTACTAAGATTAGTGATTATAAGTTACAAGGGTATCACCGAAGTAGGCGAGCCAAATTTTAGGAACTAAAACAAGTCGAGTAAGAGTAAGGAAACTAACTAAAGTTAATGTAACGGTCATACAGGGCGGACTTACATTAGCTCACCTTGCATATGTACATGATATTATTAAACAGACGTAGAAACGACATCATTGCGACGTTTCAATAACATTAAATCATAGTAAAATTTATCCCAACCTAAGTCACCGATTCGTCACTACAATACAATGAAACTCATAAATTATATTAAGAGGTTTTACTGACAATTGTAATAAGTTAACAAAAGCAAAATACAAAATATTATACCCAATCCTTAATAAGAATTAAAATCTAAAAACAAACGATTAAAAATATTTTTCGCTAAAAAGTAAAAAAACACCCGGTAATCTGAAATGATAACTTAGTTAAATAATTTAAAGACCAAGTTAGACAATTAAAACAGATTGCGAATACCCTCAAGCTGAAGGAGACATCTGCAGCAGCTGGTGAAACTCCTCCGGGATCCACTCTTTAGGACACCATTCAGGGAGTGGTGAAACATAAAACTTGCCATCTAACTCATACCTGACAGCATGCAAGAAGATGAACATATCCTGAGGATCAGGAACTAGCCGGATCCAGCTGCACTCTGGACACCCCTTCTCGTAACTGAGACGTGGGATCCGCGCGTACACTTTACCATCCAGACAGAACTTACCCTCTGGGGTTATGGAGATTTCAGCTGCTTGTTTAATGCCGTCCCCGGACACTGTGCAGTGTCCTGCTGACTGCTGCAAGCTATCTTCTGAGACTGTTGTATCATTCTTTACGGTATCTGGTACTGCAGTGGTGTCAGCCTCTTTAGCTTCCTTATCAGTTGGTTCCTTATCTTTAGCTTCCTTATCAGGTGGTTCCGAGGAACATTCCTTTTCTCCGGTAGAAATACTCTGCTTGAGTTTATCAGAAACATTGTCCTCCATTTTACTACTAATCAGTGTAGAAATATTATCATTCCTGAAGAGAACTTCAGTCAACTCCTTGCTAAACTCATCAGTGGACTTCTTGGCCCAGTTCTCTCGAGAGTAGATAGGATCATTGGTTATAGGATAACCCCTGTGAGCCAAGTGAACTCTTATCTGATGCATCTTTCCAGTTTGAGGCAAGCACAGAACTAAGCTCCTGTTGGTTGCTCTGTCATAATGTAACCTCTTAAAGTCAGTGTGAGCAGCTTTACCGTTCACGTGGTCCACTTTGTTGATTCCTAACTTGTGAGATACTTGTAAGATAGGCTCCGAGCAGGACAGTCCGTCAACTGGGAACTCACCGTCACACAGTGCTATGTAGGTTTTACTTACTTTCTGGGCTCTAAACTGGGGTGGGACAGTTTGCTATTAACTAATTAACTAATTAACTAATTACCTAATTAACTAATTAACTAATTAACTAGTAGGTGTTCCAATCAGAGAGGGCTAATTGGGGGAAACCTTTCGATGGAATGTGTTTATTGTTGTTTGGGCAAACATGTCTCAAACACTGTTAATTTACAGCTTGCTTAATTGTGAAATTATGTGGCGATGATATGCGCAATTTTGATAAGTTTTTAACTATTTTATAACTGAAAATTAATTATAAACTTCAACACTTAGCTACTGTAGATGTACAAGAACCAAAAAATTGGGACTCTGTCTCTAAGCATAAGCAAAGAAATAAAATAATAGACTGACCAGTGCACCATACTCCTTTGCTTTCTGAGTAGTTTTCAGAAGCACAATAATACCAGAAGTTAGCCGATCCAGCCTATGGCAAGTGAAAAGCTTTTGACCGTGTTTCGTCTCCAAATGTTTGAGAAGTGTATTGTGTCTGTACCTTCCTGTCGTATGTATTGGAATTGAAGCAGGCTTGTTTACCACCAGTATCTGAAATATTAGATTACTGTTACACTGCTTCAATACAATGAGTGAAAAATAATATAATAATATTTCTCATACTCATTTATATAATGACCTAAAAATATCCCAATGTCAGGCAAGTACATCCTCAATACAAAAGAACTAAAATAGCATTATACGTAAATAACAGTAGTATAATATGATATTATGATAATATAAACGAACCTCCTCGCACTCCGCTATTGTCTGAATTACCCCGTCTATAACGGGAGGTTCGTGTCTGTGAACATGGTGAGCGATAAAGTCGTGATCTTGCAGCAGATAGTCATGTCCCACTGTCTTGTCGTTCACAGTGATCCTGCCGCTGGACAGTGCTGTTTCGTAGTAGGATGCCGGGTAGGCTTGGAATTCTTGGGATAATACCTGTAAACATGTGTAACAAGATCACTACATGCCATGTTAAGAGTACTGCATAATGATGAACAAATTTAGTGCAAGTTGTTGGAGAATTAAGAAATAAGTCTTAACTTTTAGTTTTAACAATATTTTCGATAAGAGTGACTCTTAAAATGCATACCTCTAAAATCCCCCTATCAAACCACCTCTTCTTTGTGTAAGTACGAAGTATGAACTTGTAAGGAACCACATATCTCAGTCCATCTATTATTTTGAACTCTGGTTTCTCTTCTTCAGCTTCCATTATTTCTCCAACAGGAAGACACCTTCGTCTCTTCCTTTTTGGGCTCTGGGACTCTTTTGACATGTTTCTAATAAAGTTAATCTTTAGACGAGTGAACATGATTATCTTTAGGGTAGAAAAATAACATTGTATGAATCTAAGATACGCATATAGACGGGATTCATTTTTAAAAAGATAGGATTTTAAATTAAAACTTCATGACATATAAAAGTTCTGGCAAATGATTAAACCATAAATAATCTAAAAAGGGCAAATCTGCAAAATGTGCCGTAAGAAATAATAATTTCACAATTTGTGCTCCTTTTCATTGTAAAAACCGTCAGTATCAAAGGGTGTTATAAACTTTTATCAAGAGTGGAATTACTACCAGCATTTTCAATTGCAGCTCCTACGAGCTCTGAAATGTCAATAACTTCCAACTTTGGACACTTTTCCATATGTTGAGGAAGTGTATTTGTTACAGTAAAACGTGAAATACTGCTACTCTCGTTTATCTTCTTCAAAGCACTGCCAGATAGGATACCGTGAGTCATTACAGCCTCGACATCACTTGCTCCCATCTGGATCAACAAGTCTGCAGCTTTGATAACAGTACCACAAGTGTCAGCCATATCATCCACAATCACTGCCCTCCTCCCTGTAACGTCTCCGACGAGCGTCATCCGGGATATGGTGCCATCTGATGAGCGCTCCTTGTGGATAAGCGCAAATGGGAGTCCTGTTAGCTCAGATATTGCTGTGACCTTTTTCATGGCACCAGCATCAGGAGCAACAAGGATTACGTCCTTGGATTTTTGAAAGATATGTTTACTGATGAGTTGGGTTGTTTGAATGTTAGCTACGGGAATGTTAAAGAAACCCTCTGTTTGTGAAGAATGTAACTCCACAGTAATGACATGATCTGCACCTGCAGCTTCTAGCAGTTTACAGATAAGTTTAGCAGCGATGGGTAAGTTTCTGGACTCTGACTTATAATTATCCGATCTAGCGTAAGGAAAACAGGGGATAACAGCTGTCACCGAGGTGGCATGGAGTTGTTTGCAAGCTTGGATAGCTAACAATAGCTCCATTATTTGATTATTTATGTCTGAATGGGGAGACTGGACAACAAAAGCTGATTCATTGCTCTGCACTGGAACAACTAACTTTGTCTCCGCATTGGAAAAGGAACTGTTGGTTACGTGGGAGATTTTGTAGTCAAGTTTTTGAGCTAGGTTAGTGGCCAAATCCGGATGAGAAGAGAGTGATAGAATATGGGAAATCGATCCGAATCTTCTCACCAACTGAAGAAGCATTTCAAAATCTTAATCTAATGAAAAACGTAGTAATCAATTAATAACTCATCAAGATTCAAAGAATTGGCATTTTCCTTTGCTTCAACCTACTAGAGAAATGGGATGCTGGATGCAATATAGATTTTAGAATTAGATACTTTTGTCGCTTTAAGTGTGTGTATATTATTAATTATTATAATATGTAGTATTTATTTTAAGTATTCAAGTGAAAGAAATTGGATATAAAATGAATAATAATCTCACTATTCCACATTTTGTATGAGAAAATATAATAATATCATATAATATAATATGATAATCAAACACCATAAATTAGTCAGAAAACAAACCATCAATAATTAGACAACGTTAGATAATAATAATAATTAGACAACAGAGAAATTAAATTGAAAACATTAATCATGTTCAAAAATACAGTTATAATCAAGATGTATATAAACCCATTTAACAATTCATCACATATGCAATAATTGTTTACGAGTCAGACTAGCCTACTTTAAAAAGATTAAATGATTAAGATAAAAACGGCTTAAAGGTATTATTATAGGCAAAAAGTTCATCAAATTATAGAAAATACAACATGATATTATAGAAATGTTCAGAGAGAAAAATCGGGATGGTGCCCTGATAAAATATTATATTATAAACTATAACTATTAAGGCATATATTCAGGAAACATTTGCTCATTCAATACAAAATGGTCATGTGACCTGCTTTTACCAGCCCTGTTCAGAAGTACTCCTTGTCGGAGAGATCTAAGCAGCTGTGTAGCTTTGTTGCTACTGAGATTGTAGTTTGTCTTTAAGTGGTCCACTAAGCTGTGCGTAACAGTCATTGCAGAGAAATCAATGCCGTTTGCACATGTGACTATCTGACCTGGGATAGAAGGCATGGTTAGTCTAGTTTTAAGAGCTTATAGTGAAATTGATGAAAGTAATTAGACGTTATTCAAGAGAAAATTTATCACATGTTTACATTGCTGAATTTAATGAATAAACATTGCACCCACCAGCACAAAGTAATTTTCCAAGCTTTTGAAATGCTGGAAGTAACTGAGAGGGATCTTCGAGTGACAAGCATAAATCCTTCAGTTGTGACAAATGCTCAGAGATAGCTGTCATCTTCTTCCCATCTTCAATACTTTGATAAAACACAGGGTTACTTTCCAAGATCTTTTTCACATACTCAACGCTTTTACTGTTGATGGTCTGGATGAACTGCTTTTCAGAATCAGATAACAACATTATTTCTGTTCGGTCAATAATTTGATTGCAGAACATGGGCAAAATGTTGAGCTTCCTACTGCTGTAACCTTGACACACATCTAGGAGCAAAGCATATATTTTTGTGGTCACTGGGACAGAAATCAGCATGTTGTACCTGCTTCCAGAGAAGGTAGGAAGAGTGTGATCCTCATCTCTGCAGGTGATTTCAATCTTACAGTTTTTTAGCAACTCTGAAGCAACATAGATGTCTTCCAACTGAATGCGTTCTAGGCCACGACATGAAAGAAGAGACTCAATCTGTACAAAAAATCCAATATTGATAAGCTGAAGCCAAAAGAAAACATCATCCATGTATACATAAATGCTGCTATAAATGGCTGTGATAGTAGCCAAAAGTAACTGTCCAACAACCGCATCTGACCTCATTATAAATCTGTTCATGACACTTGGTATGTTTTGAATGCAATGAATTTTGTAATCAAGAGCAGCTTGTGAAACACGAATAAGGCTCAGTACATCTCTTTGAAACTTGTTGCAAGGAAGAAACAACAGTTCGACCCATAGATCAGAATGGTAATCATTTACTAACTCTGTGCATGTGTCTGTTAAATGTTCTATTTGTCCAATGAGGTCACGCAGATTGCTTGCAACACTCCATGTTTGATCGATATACATCACTCTATCGTTGAGCCATACATAAAGAGGATTATTGGTTTCTTCTCCCAGTTCTGTTGCCAACTCAATTACCAAATCAGCAACCTCAGCATTGGCACATAGTGAAATCAAGCTATGCGCATTAGCTTCATAATCTTTAAAACTTCTAGTAAAATTATCAAGATCAAAGTTGGCCAAAGCCATGGCAATGCTAGCAAGATGAATGTCAAGCTGTGCTGAGCAATGTAATAGTTTATCTTTATAGTGGGTGAGCCTTTTACACAAGTAAAAAGTACTTTTAATGCTTTGATCACAGAGCATGGAATAAAGTCCGCCTCCTTTGTTACTGTCAGTGCTTTTAGAAGGAGCAGAAAATATTGTTTTTTCATAGATCTCATAATGCTCAAAAGAAGAATCCAGTATCTTGACACGATATGAAACAAGGTTGGAGGGAAAATACAGAGTTTGGTATCCAGACTTTTTTAGAGACTTTTGACGTTTAAATGCCCCAAAAGTGTTTTGAAGACATTGCTCATGCTGTTGGTTGATGTCAATGCGAAACTCCAGATTACTTGTATTTCCAAACAATATGTTATTGTCACCATACTTACTTATAAGTGTTAGTGTTTCATTGTCTCTCCTGTTTAGAAACTCTAGGTATTTGATTGTAACCTGAGGTATATCTCTCAGTTTTAGAAGGCATTCATGAAGAAGACTTACAGGAGTACCAGTTATTGCCGACTTGGGGTTGATTAGAAAGTTATTCTCAGATTTAGTGATAAACATCAAGCTAAACAACCTGTCTTTTTCTTCCATGGGCAAAGGTTGAATTGAGTCTGAAAACAGACATGAAGATCTATGATTCGATTGTTTTGTTACAGATGCTAGAGCTTTGTCCATATTCACAAAGGTGACCGTCAGTATGCCACACGCATGATTGTTATCAATTTGATGAATTGAGTCACTGATGCTGCCAATCCCTTCAATGATATTGTAAGGGCATATTTCTGTACTGAAAATGTTAACATAACAGGATTGCCTAGCTACAGAGCTAGATCTAAAAATGCAGATTTTGTAGTACTCATTGTAGATGTACATTGGCAATAACAAAGTCTCATGAAATTCTATTTCATTTGAATTACATGGTTTGCTGCTGGTTTTTAGTAAGCAGGTATCAGATTGGTTAAAAACTTGAATTTGAATGTGCCATCCTGGTAATTGAACTTGCAAACCTTGCAACTTTAACAATAAAGCCACCTTCTCTGGCTTCTCTGAAGAATTCATATTGTTGTTTGACAAGTCGCCATTGTTATTGGATAGCTTCGATAAAATTGAGTCATAATAAACAAGACAGTTTCTCAAATATCTAAAGTTGGCTTCTTTGATAGCCTGAACCCAGGATGTTGCTTCATCTGGCTCACAAATAAATGACAGAAGGCTAGACCGAGTAGAATCTGTGAAAACAACTTTGAAACCTAGATCAGTTATGTCAGTGTAACACGATTCAAGAACATAGCAGCTGTGGGCATGATCCCCAGGTGATGGTTCTGAATAGGATTTAAAAATAAAGAGTAAATTACACTTCACAACAATCCAGAGATGTTTTGCTTTATGCTTCTTTGTCACTTTCCGAACATGCCCTTTTCCAGCTGCATCAAGGGTAGTGGCTGCATATGAAATAAGTTCTTTTTCATTGTATCTCAGAGATGACATAAAGTTGGTATTTTATCAATCAAGGAACCAAACCCTGAAAAGATGTAAAATTTGAATTGTAAATCTAAGTTGTTCCACAAAAATAAAAACATTCACATCCAATCAGGTATAATATCCGATTGTGATCAAAATCCGACTTTTAATTACATATTTAAACAAACACAGAAACAGTGATCATCAATTCGGCTGAGTTGTTGAATTCATCCTAAAAATTCACCGAAAAACAAAATTTGGATAGAGCAAACTGTCTTTTGTCAGCGCACTGTTTAGAACAACATGATAAACACAAATTGGCCCTATTTTAACCGCCTGCCTCTAAAAAAGACAGCAAACATGTTATATCATTTGATGATGCATAAATCTTTTTATTTGATAATTATAATAATGGTTGGACAGGAGTCAATGGATCTCTCGTGATAATATTAGGACGAAGGCTACAAGACATGACTGGCATGCGGGCTGAGTATAGCTCTTCATTACACCTTTGATCATAGATTCCCGATCATACGGCTAAGTCAACCGTGGGAAGACTTTATGGCTAAGTTGCCTAGTGATTAAAGCTCTAACCTTCTGCACAGTGGGTCCAAGGTTCGGATCCTCGAGTCGCCTAGTCTAGGGAGTAGCTAAGGATCCATTAAAGAAATAAAATGTTTCAAACAGTACACAGATAATTTCAGCAATGGTAATTGTCTAGCTGTAAGGATAGACACCCTCGAAAAATAAATAAACCAATACAATAGATTTTTGATTGAAATAAATTTTCGTGCACATACAGAATGAATGGTTAATAATTTAATATATATGTAGACCAAGGTCTGTGCACGGGATGCTTCCTGGAAGAATCCAGTTCTTTTAGCGGGGCACCCTACCTAAAGCCAAATTGAGATATAATAATCATACTATCATATTCCTAGAGAAATAATCAGAAATCGAATACCAATCAAATAATATGATATATAGGAGTAGTAACCATATTTACTGTGCAAAATGCCCCAACCACATAGTGTAAATTTATATAGAATTCAAATTCCATATCATCATTAAACCTCAATAGTCAATATAATAGCCCAAGCAAAATTAAATAACTTCTTATATACCTTACTGTCATACTACAAATTAATTAAACATTTGAAATCTGTTAACCAGAGAATACATTTCTCTCAATAGACAATCCATTAAATCTACGCAATATTGCACATCTGCATAATGTCTCCTAGGTAGACTAAGGCTGCAGGCGAATGAAATGAAACTTGATTGAGGGTTTAAAGATAAGATAAGTGGCCTGCCAACAGATCAAGAATCTTCTAAGGATTATAATCTGTTCCCCTTCAGTACATCTACTGTATATATATCATGTAACACATAGACATAGTACGATACTATGAAGTAAAGTTAGTAATTAATTCCTAAAGGACTCGAACAAGGTAGCAGCTAAGTAAAGTAAAGTAAAGTAAAAATTATGACATAACATCATCACTAATGTCTACAAAGTATCATCACACTACATGGGAAAATAACTATTTCTCCATCAAATTTAAAGGTAACAATTTATCAAATATTAATCATGAATAAAAACAACATTACAAAATTTAATTTATTCATACTTCCCAGTGGAGTAAAGATTTATAAAACGTTTCTTTGCTACATAAGGATGGAACCACAGATAATCATTGTGTTTTTCCTTATTACTGATATAACTGGTACCTTCAATTCTTGTTAAAACTTCTTTCGAAACATTCCAAAAATGAAAGTCATTTACAATACATTTAGAAATCATATTCTTTTTAAAACTTTCCAATCAAATTTTAAAACTCAAAACTGTCAAGCAGTTCTTCACCTCCGAAGGGAGTTTGTTCCAATAAGGAACAACCCGCTCTGGAAGAAAAGAACACTGAAGATTCTTGACCTTTGTCACACTCTTACTACATCTATTGGATGAAACCAGATTAAGACCTGATCTGCTTGGTCTGAACAAGTCTGAACCATAATCAGTCAAGCCATTAATAACCTTAAAAGCTTCAATAAGGTCCCCACGTATTTGCCGCTCTGCCAGCGTTGTCAAATTAAGGATTTCCAGTCTACGGCTGTAAGGAAGAGTACCCACCTCATCAATCAGACGGGTAAACCGCCTCTGGACGCTCTCCAGCTCCAAAACAGTCCCCCAACTTCCATGAGCCGCAACTGGATTCCACAATTGGACACAATACTCTAGATGAGGTCTTATCAAAGCTTTATAGATGGCTATCATTACACATTTTTCTCTAATTATCAAATTCCTTACAATCCAGCAAATCATACGATTTGCCTTGGAAATACATGCTTTTATCTGTTCATTCCAAAGCAGCTGTCTGGTTACAAGTGTTAGATGGCCTCTAGTTGAACAATAAAACCCGTATTTGTCGTATGTACAAAACCTGTAAAACAAAATACTTTATTACATAATAGAATAACTTTACCACCAAATTAAACCAATTCCAAATAAATACCTAATAACTAAACATTATAAATACTTACCGATTGGACGGTAGTGTGCTGCCAATGTTCCACTCCTCCCCAGTCCAATCGGTTATCCTCCTTTGCTTGTCATTGCTAGAAAAGGTAAACACGGTTAGAAGTATTCTGTCACGAAAGAGAGAGAAAAGTGTGAACAGTAATAACATTCCCCGGGTTTCCTTTTCCAGCAATGCTAGCCCCAATTTCTCTCAAGATTGCACTGTTAAATTACACAAAAATACGCTCGAAGATCCCGTCTGAGCTACAGCTGTCGTCAGATTATCACCCGCAGTGACCTATCTGGACGAATCCATTAAATAATTAAAATACAGTCAACAACCCCGTTTGAGTTATAGCTGTCTTCAGATTATCACCCGCAGTGACCTATCTGGACGGATCCATTAAATAATTAAAATACAGTCAACAACCCCGTTTGAGTTATAGCTGTCTTCAGATTATCACCCGCAGTGACCTATCTGGACGAATCCATTATATAATTAAAATACAGTCAACAACCCCGTTTGGGTTATAGCTGTCTTCAGATTATCACCCGCAGTGACCTATCTGGACGAATCCATCAAATAATTAAATACGCTCAACAACCCTGTTGGAGCTACAGCTGTCTTCAGATTATCACCCGCAGTGACCTATCTGGACGAATCTATCAAACAATAAACTTGTACCCACAAATACGCTCAACAACCCTGTTGGAGCTACAGCTGTCTTCAGATTATCACCCGCAGTGACCTATCTGGACAAATCTACCAAACAATAAACTTGTACCCACAAATACGCTCAACAAACCCCGTTGGAGCTGCAGCTGTCTTTAGATTATCACCCGCAGTGACCTATCAAGACGAAACTGCCGAATATTAAAATCGTCCCTGTATTTACGCTCAACAACCCCGTTGGAGCAACAGTTGTCTTTAGATTATCACCCGCAGTGACCTATCAAGACGAAACTGTCAAACATTTTGATAATACACATAAATCATAAATACGCTCAACAACCCCGTTGGAGCATCAGATGTCTTCAGATTATCACCTTGAGTGACCTATCGAGACGAAACTGTTCGGAACTTATTACAGAGAAAAACATAACAAGTCATATTAAAATCTCTTTAAAACCCCGCTAAAATATAAATGCCACGCGAGCGCGCATTTTAAAATGCTAACACTAAAAGTACTTTCTATACCTACGAGCTCAAAATTACTAGCAACACAGAAATTCCTTTGTTCTCAAAAAAACTCACCGAGATGTTATAATATCTAGCTCAAAAACTAAAAGCGTCCCCATAAAACGAGTAAATATTTGAGATAAATACTAAAAGAACAACTCAGCAAAGTAGATTAGCTCCCTAAATTAGCTACAAACATATTATATACGCAGATATATTATTATGTTTACCTGCGACCACATTCTTTTGCAAATTAAAATGATATATACAAACTTAAAATAAAAACTGACGAGACGAAATAATATATACTCCTGACATTGCTCAGCAATTAACTCGTAAAAAACGACTAAAACACGATTCTACGAATCATGGAACTGAATTTACATACTGAATATTACTCTTATTTCTTATAAACAGACATAATTGATCTTATAATAATTATTCGACTCATTTCTATATTTATTATCATAGAATCCGACAATAAAATGCGATAAAAACTTAAAACACGACACATAACAAATTACAAAACATAAAGCTGAATAAACTCACAATTCCTAAAATAGAAACATTAACTTTTGTTTGACCCAACGCTCTTGACTCATACATTAAACGACACAAAACAGTCATTTGATTGCCTTCTTGTTTCTCAATCAAGATACTTTTCAAAATCTACTCTGAACAAAGGTTTTTATGTATTGCTAGCTCTCTCGATCATTCCGTATTTCCAAGGTCAGCATCCTCAGATCCGGGGAATGTGTTAAAGGAACACTGAGCAACCATATTTCAGAATAAAACAAATATTCAGAATAAAACAAATATTATATTCAAATCTCTTTATTCAACAATATTAAATCATTATAGAACCTAATTTGTGGCTTGATCGTTATGTTAGGGCTATTCTGTTAGCTGATGCTGACAGGCACTGCATGGGGCAGAGACTTAGGACCATTACGCTGGAGGCTTACAATGACCCTTTTTGAACCCCATGGCAGTGCTAGTTTTATTATGGTACAAATTGTAAATCGAAGTTATGAAAACGATCAAGTCACTCCTGTTTTACACTATCAACAGCTACTTAAAACAACCTAGATTGTACAACTCACTTTGAAGATTAAACTGTTAAGTGATGAGTGATTGGGCTCATTAAACATTTTAGTAGCGGAGACATGCGGATCAGCTTCTTGAGGTTCTAATAGTTCATTCAGACAAGAAGTTTTATTTTTTCAAATTTAGTCGTTCAAGCTGCCTGAGTTCAGGAAGTTTGCCAAAGAGGCCCAGGTATTCTTGTCACCTTTACCCTGAGACGAGAGAATGACTTTTTTTACCTTTGATTTGAATACACCATGAGTGATTTCAAGGTCGTTCAGTGCCAACATCTGACGGAATGAATTCCAAAGGCAACTAGATTTGTAAACGAAACTGTTTGAGGGCATGGTTGTTATAAGAAGAGTTTCTTTGCCGGGTCTTTTAGACAAACAGAAAAGTTCAAATAGTGCAATTGGTGTTCGATATTTAAAGACTTTAAAAAGTTCATTGCAGCAGTGATACGCGTATAAATTATGCAATGTCATGAGTGATTGACGGGCAAAAATTGGCTTGGTGTGCTAAATGACCTGGTTGGTGGCATATATAACAACATACCTTGGGACTACTACTCCCCCTCATATGAAGACTGAGTACTGTCCTTCTTATACAGTTTGTCCAGTTCGGCAATGAGTTTAGCAACTCCATCTTCTGCTCCTAGCACCTTTAATGTTATGTTTATAGAAACCTCCTGTGGTCTACCTTTCATGTTCATAATCAGCTTACTAGCTTGCTGTTTCGTTGATGCTGCGGTGCCAAGCTGCCATATTAACACTTTCTTCTTCCATGTGCTGTAATCAGCGCTGTCGTCTAAAACTGGTATCTCACGAAGACTCATAGTTATAGTTCGACTAAAAAACTCTAAAACTGTCTCTCAAATTAGTCTCTTAATTAGTCTCTAAATTGTAGTCTAAATAACACACAAACAAAGTGCCACTGTCAGGTCGTTGCGTAGAACGTTTTCCGACTTCCTGCTATCACTGTTAGATGGCCTCTAGTTGAACAATAAAACCCGTATTTGTCGTATGTACAAAACCTGTAAAACAAAATACTTTATTACATAATAGAATAACTTTACCACCAAATTAAACCAATTCCAAATAAATACCTAATAACTAAACATTATAAATACTTACCGATTGGACGGTAGTGTGCTGCCAATGTTCCACTCCTCCCCAGTCCAATCGGTTATCCTCCTTTGCTTGTCATTGCTAGAAAAGGTAAACACGGTTAGAAGTATTCTGTTTTTTACTAATTACAACACTACAAACTAATTACAACACTACAAATCTATTACATTTATTGAGGACCCCCAGTGGGAACTAATGCCTCGGTAAATGTAACGACCATTACAGGTTGTATGTCAATGTAAATGGTTGTTGCACGATAAAGTTATCTTAAAGACATCCTAAGGACTATCAGACATCGGTTTTTAAAGCAGTTTACTCCCATCTATCACCTAAAGATTATCAGACATCACTTATCCTTATCCTCCGGAGTGCTACAAAGGTACTGTAATCATTAACTAAATTTCGAACAGTAGCAACTTTTTTGTGATAAACTATGTCTAGAATACCAGTTGGCTCAAGACATTACAATCTGAGATATCGAGGGAATTCTGTTAAATTCCCCAGCAACGGCTCTTGTCCTACTGATAAATGTTCAAATTGTTTAACTCTATTAAGAGAGAATGATAGTCTTCGTCGGCAAATTTCTTTTCTCTATAAACAATTATCAGAAAGTGACAGTGCACTCAAAGTTCCCCTCAGCGATGGTTCACTTATCCCTGTGTTGCCCCAGGTACCTGATCACTGTGAACAGTCTATCAATGTTCCCCTCAGTAATAGGTCATCCTCGCATCTTGTTTCTGAGTTAACCCAAGAGCTATCCAAATTAGCAGAAGACAGTGAACATTCAGCAGAAATTATCAATTTGGAAAATCCCAAACACTCTGTAAATGGTGACAATGATGTGAGCAACTCTATCAATCCATACCAAGATTTGAGTCGAGGAGTTTTTCAGTTTGTTGACACTGCCAAGTTAGATATAGAAACCCACTATACTCATAAGTTTGAGAATAGGGCAGTTGCATATTACGGGGACTTTCCCTACGCTTACAATGGAGGCTTTCATAACACAAGGCCAGTAGCAGACAATCCATACCTAAAGTCTATTCTAGAACGCTTACGCTCACAGTTCCCAAAATTGAAATTTAATAGTGCTATGATTACCAAGTATAGAAATGGTCAGCAAGGAATTCCCTTTCACTCGGATGACGAGAGGTCAATTTCACCAGGCTCCATGATCTCCACCATCTCTTTAGGGGCTACTAGAGTCCTAAGCTTCAGATCCAAACTTAGAGCTCATATTGCTGACCTCACCCTCTCCCATGGTGACATAATGAATATGACCAGACAATCCCAGACCAGCTTTGAACACAGCCTCATCCAGGACAAGTCTGAAACCATGAGAATAAGCATTACTCTGCGCCTAATTGATGGCAGCGCAACCTTATCTACTCTGTCTGATGTTTCCAGTCAAGTTAAGAACACTGAACCCTCGGCCCCTAAGACTAGATCAATAGAACATTCTGGTAAATCTTTGTGTGTCTACATTAGCTCTAGTATGTTCTCCAAATTAGAGGGAGAAAAGCTATCGTCCAAACATCATGAGGCACATGTATTCAGCTACCCTGGTGCCACAGCCAATGCAATCAATGAACGGTTTCAATCAGATGTAAGAAAAGACACTCTTAATACCAATAATGTGAAAAGCATTGTACTTATGTGTGGTACAAATGACGTGGACTCTATCCTGAACAGCCCTCGCAACATGAGGACTAAACTTCTGTGCCCTGATAGTTTTTCTGGTGATGCTAGAGCTCTTGACTTTACAAACAATTGTATTGAAAAACTTGTACTTTTCCTTCACAAGTGGGCACCTGGAGCTGATATTAAAATTGTTAACTTATTACCTCGGGAGAGTTTCTCCAGAAACAAGGTTATAACTGATATCAATGAGTGTATATCAAATCTGCAAAGAAAATACACCTATGTAAAACTGCTCTCAACCGAGACAAATCGTTTCTTGTTTAGTGATAAGAAAGGCTTTAGAAAATCGTCATTTTTTAGTAGTTATGGAGAGGATAATGTCCATCTCAATGATTATGGCATAGTTAAATTAGCAAGGCACTTGAAGTATCATGCACACCATTAGAATACTGCTGAATACTGACATAACACTCCTACCATCAGTTTTATTTTTACAGTACGACATCCAGACAAATACAACCTGCTTTTATTCTGTTTTTTAGTTTAAACACAACTTTACAACTTTTATTCATTCCATTGTGAATTAATAAGATTCACAAGATGACAAATTTTAATAATGCAGCTGATAGGTTTCACAACCTCTGCATTGGTCATTGTAACATTCAAGGAGGGCTTCTCAATTTAGCTAAAAGTAATGAACTTTCCCAACTTATTAGAGATCATAAATTAGACATACTTTCCCTAAATGAGATGAATCTTAATGATACTATTGACACAGACACCATAAATATTCCTTCCTCCTTCAACCTTATGCGATGCGACAGGCCAAACAGTTCTAGGGGTGGTTGTGGTTTAATGATAAACAAAAAACTAGCTTACACAGAATTAGTTATGGATAGTAAGCTTGATAACATTGAAGCATTATGGGTGAAGCTTAAGAATAGCAAGATCAATGTTTGCTGCTTCTATCGCTCTGGAAATTATTGCAGTGTTGATAACTTTATTGAATACATTCATTTTTGCATGAAAAAATTGAATGGGAAAAAGGTTATCTGGATTGGGGATATAAACATTGACCAGAATAATATCTCATCCACCCAGTACAAAAAATTAGATATGACCTTGAGATGTTACAATCTAGTTCAAACCATTCAAGGGATAACTAGAGTTGCTAAACGTGGAGACAATGTTACCCAGACTACTATTGATGTAATATTCACTAACTGTTATGCAGATTTTGTCCAATCTTCTGTTCTTGATGAACGTATTGGAGATCATCAAGCTATTATGTGTGAGATAGATTGTAAAGTACCTATAGCTCCTAAATTTGAGAAGGTTGAAATTAGAAATCATTGTAAACGTAATGTTAAACAATTCTTAGACTATCTAGACACCTGTTCTGATTACAGTCCACTATTGGAAAGTACAGATGTTGAAGCTATCACAGCTGGCCTTTGTCATCATATTGAACAGGCATATGCAACCTTCTTCCCTTGCAAGACCATAGAAAGGCATGAAAAGTTCATACATAAACCTTCTACTGAACTTTTATATGCCATTAATCATACACATTTTCTTCTAAAGAAATTCCGTAAAAAGAAGGATAAGAGAGACAATGGAAATTGCAATAAATGTGGTACATGTAGCAAATGTATAAAGTGTAATGAGGCCTGGGATTGCTACAAGATTCAGAGAAATATTAGAAATAAATTAGCTAAAACCTGCAAAAAGGCTAATGTAATCGATGATCTACAAGTTAAAAGTGCCAAGAATGATCTTAAAGGGATATGGAAAACTATCAAACTGGCATCAAATATGACCCCTGGTACAACTAATTGTCAAACTATCAATGAGAATGATCCTGAGCTATTTAACTTTCATTTTGCAAATGTTGGATCAAGATTACAAAATCAGGCCCCCAATATTGAAAGAGTTAGTTTTACTGATTTTTTACCTCCTAGAACTTCTAATATCTCATTTGATAGATTCCAAGAAATAAATGAAACTGATATCCTAATGTATGTCGAAACGCTCAAGAATGACAAGGCCTCATATGACAATGTGCCTCTATTTTTACTTAAGCAAGCTGTACCACACATAGTTGAGCCACTGACCCACATTGTCAATCTGAGCCTTAATACAGGTGTTGTACCAACCCTTTGTAAAAAAGCTAGAGTAACTCCCATCCATAAGGCAGGAATGAAAGATGATCCTAATAATTACAGGCCAATATCCATCCTTCCACTTGTAGGAAAACTTATAGAATACTTTGTCGGCAAGCAACTCACTGATTACATGGAAGAGAACAAACTTTTCATCCGGCATCAATATGGCTTTCGGAAAAATCACTCCACAACTTATCTGATGTACGATCTGATGGACGAAATATATATGAGTAAATCTAAGTCTTATAAACCAGGAATCATCTTTCTTGATCTTAAGAAGGCCTTTGACACAGTGAATCATGAAATATTGCTTCAAAAATTGGCATATTATGGAATTGGTGGCATTGCTTTAACCTGGTTTAAGAACTTCTTATCTTGTAGATATCAATGCACTAGGATCAATGGCAATCTAAGTTCATTTTTAGAAGTTCTGAGTGGTGTACCACAAGGAAGCATCATTGGGCCTATATTATTTAGTATCTTCATAAATGACATCATTTATGCCTGTAACCTATCTAAGCCCTTTCTATTTGCAGACGATGGTGCACTATTCTTTGATCAAACCTGCAGAAGCACATTTATAAACATGAAAATAGAACTTATGACAATCTTTAAATGGCTCAGTGTTAATAAATTATCACTCAATGAAAAGAAGACTGAATTCCTATTGTTTGATTCTGTTGACCAACATGATGAAATAACCATTGATTGTAATGAGGTAACTTTCACAATCAAGGAGTGCAAAGAGACAAAATATCTTGGCCTCATTCTAGATAGTAAATTAAACTTCAAAAGCCATGTAGATTATATTATTAGGAAGGTCATGAAGAGAATTGGTGCCATGTATAGAAGTAAAGCACTGCTACCCATTAAATATAGGAAAATGTTTGCCAATGCACTCATGTTGCCACAATTCGATTATTTAGACACGATCTATTGTAGAGCTGGCAAGACAAAACTTGCTGAACTTGACACTCTGTACAAAAAGGTAGCCAAAATAGCTCTCAACGTTCCAAAAACAGAGAGCAGCCTTAATGTTTATAGAGACATGAAATGGTTACCACTCCATCTTAGACGACAACTCCATCTGTCAAATTATATGTTTAGAATCATCCATGACAATTGTCCTACAAACTTTATGAACAAATTTAGTTACATATCAGGAGGTAGTAGGAGCGGCGAAAGCTGCAACCTTTATGTCAATAGATCAACATCACATAAAAACTTTCAATACTTGGGGGCAAAATGTTGGAATAATGTTCCAACAGATCTACGAAATCTGCCCGATGTTAAAAGCTTTAGTGATTCGTATAAGAAACAGCTACTATCATCTATAACAACAGACCCTAATTATACCGTCGACAATTCA